GCTCCAGAGGATCAGCACGGCGCGAAGAAATGTGTAGCATATACCTACCTATTGACGCTAGTACCGTTACTGTCGTAAAGCTCACATATGTGACCCAGAAGGTTGGTTGGTTTGTTGTTTTACGCCGCACCCAGCAATATTCCAGTTATATGACGGCGGTCTGTAAATAATGGAGTCTCGACCAGACAATCCAGTGATTAATACCATGAGCATCGATCCATGCAATTGGGATCGATGACATGCATCAACCAAGTCAGCAAGCTTGACCACCCGATCCTGGTAACCCAGGAGTTTAAATAGATATGTAACTTAAAACAGAACTAGTAATATGTTTTCACATCAATGACTTCTGAAACATTTGTTATTGTTTTCAAGGAACAAGAGGTATTAAGTTGACACAATCATAGTGGTATACATGATAAACGTTTAAAATTTTAACTGTCAAGAATGGCATGATACTCTTATGTTGGCTCATTATATGTTAGCAACACATGTGGCATTGTCTAGAATTGAAGGAACAATGATGGCAGTGACGCGGTGCCTGGACGGAATGGCATAGGAAATGTTTTGTATATCTACAGTGGTAATTAATATTTTTCATAATTAATCTGTTCAAAGTAACAGTTACATTGTTGTAATAGGTTTATATGATGAACTAGAGCAGTGGAGACTTGAGTTTGTTAAAAATTGAAACCTACATCGTTGTAAGTGCGTAGTTTTTAGACAACCATGAATCATACTTCTCCGAGAATGCTTAGCGAACTGGATGTTTGCTGTTGTAGAGTGGCTAGTCAGTTAGTCATTGTACGAAAGTGCTCACAGCTCGCAACACGGAAACTGTGCCAACGGGTTTAGTGTAAAAATTTAGGATATAAAGAATATTTAAAAATTATTTTCATAACGATTTCTGCATTTAGTACGTACACATATCATTATACATATGTGAGACAAAGATATGATTTCTTTTGAAAATGTGTTGAAAGCTGTCTGCCAGTTACTCATATCATCGAGTTTGCTGCCTGCGATCACTGTGTCAGCTACAACACCTGTGGTCAGTCAGAACAAGGGTCAGTAACACGCACGCACGCACGCACGCACACACGCACACACACACACATATATATATATGTGTGTCGGCTTTGATGTTGCTATCAGCTGATTACATGATCAAGTTACATTGCTACAGTATTACCACCATTATCATAATCATTTCATTGTCAACGATGTACACATATAATTATTGCCGTACCACTCTACAGGAGTAAACATACAGTGCGCTAAGCATTCTCAGAGAAGTATGATTCATAGTTGTATAGAAACTACGCACTCACAACGCTGTAGGTTTCCGCTGCTCTAGTTCATTATATAATATTACAACAATGTAACTATTACCTTGAAAGATTTTTAATTATGATAAAATATTTTAAAACTTTACAACTGTGGATATAGAAAACATATTTTATTCCATATCCGTCACTGCCATAATTGTTCGTTCAAAAGTTGCTAACATATAATGTACCAAGAAAGTTTTTAAGCTATTCTATTCAGTTAAATATAGTTTATAGTGAGTGAGTATGGTGTTACGCCCCTTTTAGCAATATTCCAACGATATCACGGCGGGGGACACCAGAAATGGGCTTCACACATTGTACCCATGTCGGGATTCGAACCCGGGTATTCGGCGTGACGGGCGAACGCTTTAACCACTAGGCTACCTGACCGCCCACATATATATATAAAAGCTATATATGTTAAAAGATATATATATATATATATATATATATATAGTGTGTGTGTGTGTGTGTGTGTGTGTGTGTGTGTGTGTGTGTGTGTGTGTGTGTGTGTGTGTGTGTGTGTGTGTGTGTGTGTGATATTTGATCTCATTGTTGACAAGGTTTTTATATAGCCTAAATGTATTTTTTGTTTATGTGTAACCTCTTATAGTCACAATGTGGCCGGCCGAAATACTGCCGATGCGACTTTAAATTTCAACTCACTCACACTCATTTTGATCTCAATGTAGACTGTACAATGTACTCTTGTCTGCGCTATGCTTGCTGCGCGAACCAACAATGGAACCAGTTTCAAAGTCGAATTGTCCGGTGGACAATCGTGTGGAATAATGTTATATTGCGTATCTTAGCTATTGCTTTACGCTATGCCTGGAACCTTTACTACATCTTGTTTTATGCCTTCAGTCTTCCAGTAATGCAGATCACTTAGTTTAGGTTCACCCTCACTTTCGAGTTCACTGCAGTGACCATGACGTTGTTTGTTTTAATATAGTATATTTTATCATATTGCTGAATAAAATGTTAAGACACTATTAGAGGTCACAACATTTGCACGAATACCTTTGAAATTGATTTAACGAGAATATCTGATTGTCCGAGATGACGAGAGTGTCCAATTGTCTGAAATATCGGAGTGGTTGACCGTCCGAAATTACGAGAGTAGGTTATCGTCCCAGATAACGAGGGTGGCTGAGAACTCTGACCGCCCCATACAATTGACGGATACGTGGGTTCTAGAGCCCAGATGTCAACTTTCTAAAACGATTTGGCTTCACTTTTATACCACCTCGTTTCCGAATCTTAGCAAACGAAATCCATACAGAGTGAGTGAGTGAGTTGGGTTTAACGCCGCTTTTAACATTATTCCAGTTATATCGCGGCGCGTCAGCTTAATGTGGGAGTAAAGCCCGAAGTGATGCAGGTCTCAGACGTTTACCACTTCGGTGAAACCCACGAGCACGGGTATGGTGCTGACAAACCTAGAAACATAATCGGGGCGAACCGGGATTTGAACCCACAATCATAGGTTTTACATAGGACGCAACTCTGCACAGCGAATCGCGGCGCCTTAGACGACTGGGCCACCCGTGCCCCCAAATCCATACAGATAGTTCAACTTTGTTAGTGTAGATGCCAAGGCGCCTAAGACACGACAAGTATCAACACTATAATAGCACGGTTTTATTACTTTGCCTTCGGACTTCCCCGATCACATTCGTTTTCAAGATACAGATATAGACTATGTGTTCTGAATATTTTGCTCACTCGTGTCGAGAATTAAGAAGACTCGACGCTGATCAGAAAGCATCTGAGGCGACACCTATGGAGGTGTCCTGAGATTTTCACGCAGAGAGCTGTTATACCGTTTAATGAGGTTAAGAGTGGCTGATTGTCGGAAACAACGCGAGTGACGCTCTAATGTACAGTATGGTCACTACACGTGCGATTGTTTCGTAACCAGTGTTTATTCAGGTCTCCAGAGTGTGCGTTAATGGGGTCTTATGTGTCGGACATAATGCTTTGTTTGTGTGTTTGTTTGTTTGTTGTTTAACGCCGCACTCAGCAATATTCCAGCTTTATGACGGTGGTCTGTAAATAATCGAGTTTGGAACAGAAATCCAGTGATTGACGTGAGCATCGACCTATGCAATTGGGATGGGATGCACCAACCCAGTCAGCGAGTCTGACCAACCCGATCTCGTTAGTCGCCTCTTACGAGCATAGTCGCCTTACACGGCAAGCATGGCCTCCTGAAGTCCTATTCTTCCCCGGATCTTCACGGGTCCGGACATAATGCTGCAAAATGTGAAGCTTGTGCTTGTTCAGGACGATAGTACTAATGGTCGATAGCGATAGCATTGTGTCAAGTCTTCAATTGTTTGTTTGTTGTCTAAGGCCACACGCAGCAATATTCCAGCTATGTGAGATCGGACTGTAGATAATCGAGTCTGAACCAGACACTCCAGTGATTGACATTATGAGCATCTATCTTCGAAATTGGAATCCGATAACATGATTCAAGAAAGTCAGCGATTCTAACCACCAGAGGGCGATCGGGTAGTGGTTAAAGCGTTCACTCGTCACGTGTAACACCTGGTTTTGATTCCCAATATGGGTACAATGTGTGAAGCCCATTTCTGGTGTACCCCGCCGTGATATTCCTGGAATATTGCTAAAAGCGGCGTAAAACTAGACTCGTTCGCTCACCCTTAACCACCAGATCCCGAAAATCGCCTCTTACGACAAGCATTGCTTGCTGAACACCAATTCCAAGTCGGATCTTCAGGGTTTAAGGCCTCCAAGCAACCAGGAGCACGGGTGGCCTAGTCGTCTAAGGCGCCGCAATTCGCTGTGCAGAGTTGCGTCCCTTGGGCACGCCAGAAACCTATGATTGTGGGTTCGAGTCCCGGTTCTCCCCGATTATGTTTCTAGGTTTGTCAGCACCATACCCTTGCTCGTGGGTTTCACCGAAGTGGTAAACGTCTAAGATCTGCATCACTTCGGGCTTTCCTCCCACATTAAGCTGACACGCCGCGATATAACTGGAATACTGTTAAAAGCGGCGTTAACCCCAATTAACTCACTCACTCACTCCAAGCAACCATGGCAAACCTAACACAATTAGGTCATATTGCTTCCACTCCACACTCTCAGATGTCGTTATAAGACGCTCATCGGGTGGGTACCAACGTTCTATAACAACGAGTTAGTTTCCTAACAGCCAAAACAATTGTTTAGTAAGATCTTCAGCATATTGTTCATTTTCTCCATCAAAGAGGCTTGAAGAACGTCTGACTTGAGATGGATTTAAATTTAAATAATATAAATTTTAATAATACAAAAAGACTACTGTCACATAACATTTGAACGAGTCCGTGTCGGCAGTGTTGCATGTCTTATAAAAAAAAAAGGTTTGTTGTTTTAACGTCGCATTCGGTAATATCCCAGTTATATGACGGCGATCTGTAAATAACTGAGTCTGGACCAGACAATCCAGTGATGGACATGATGCGCATCGATCTACGCAATATGGATACGATGACGTGCATCAACCAAGCCAGCGAGTCTGGCCACCCGATCCATTTGGTCGCCTCTTACGACAAGCACAGTCGCCCTTTACGGCAAGCATGAGTTGCTGAAGACCTATTTAACCCCGGATCTTCACGGATCGAAAATGCATATCAACAGAAAAACAGTACTTCAGAATAGAACATAATGTGTAATTGAACGTTCTGAGATCGACAAACATATATAATACAATGTGTACAAAACAAACAAGCGATTCTCGAGTAATTGTGTATAGAAGTTAAAAATGCCATACAGTAATCCTTCTGTATTAATACTTGTAGACCTGTTTCATAAAGTCCCTCCCCCTTTTTGGTTATACGAGGGTTGATTGATAAGTTCCGCCCCTTGCATGGAAGGAATTGCACGTTCCTCAGGTTTGTCCATTTCCTAAAGGTCACGGAGCCCTGCTTATTTCACCGACTTGTCACAGAGAAACAATTTACTTATTTGACTCAAGTAACTTTATGTGGCTATACCTCCAAGACGTCATGTCCACAACAAAATATTTCACTTTTACGTAATTCCCTCTGTATGAGATTCAGAACTTTTCAATCATCTCCGTACCCTGCGACACGGACATGTTACTTAGGTTTATGCTTGACTAGCTTCAGTCAGCACCGACCAACTTCCCACATGATTCGACATAAGCATTCATAAAAATCCTTTGTTTTATGCAAAAGGAAAACAGTTACTTCTTCTATTCCATCATGCGTATCTCTTGTCTTAGGTTATAGCTAAAGGAGAGCTATTACCAACTTCATATTTTTATTTGATACGGTAAGAGAATCCAAAGTAACACACAGGCAATAGGAAAAAGATTCAAATCTGATTTAGCATCCTTAAGAGATGGATTCTGACTTTTTGACGAAAGTGGATACATTTGTTGACCGGTGACGTCAATTTGCAGCCCCAATCTTCCAGTACTAGTCTTTCTGAATCAATTTACTATTCCTTTGAATCCATGGACTCTGTGAATATATGGACATGTCAATTTGAATGCATGGACTAGTCAAAATGAATCCACTGAGTAGTTCATATTTTTTTCAACGATCAGTCTAATCGAATCAACGGACAACTCTATATGAATTAATGGACTAGTCAATACGACAATTTATATGAAACAACGGACTAGTCTAAATTAATCAACAATGCGTCTGCTTGAATCAGCTGACAAGTCAACATGAATCCACGAAATATGCATTATGGAAAAAGAGTCTAGGACCGTATATCAAGATTATAAGAAGCGTGGAGCACGTGCCTTGTAAATCATCGTGTACATCAACATACACCGCCATCTAGTTGCCACACGTTGACACACACTCTTGTCAACAACACAATCTCGTATATCTGAAACGGATACATATCACAGTATATGCTTTGGCTTCATGACACTCATAGCGTGAATGAAATAAGTCTGCCGTTCATTATGTCAAATCACAGAATGATATTGCGTAGGAAATTTGTATAATGGCATGAAACTGGCATTCATATAATACAAACATTTGTTTGTTTGTTGTTTAACGCCGCACTCAGCAATATTCCAGCTATATGTCGACGGTCTGTAAATAATCGAGTCTGTAACAAACATTTACATCACAAACACGTTCCAATGTTCTATACAACTGTCTGACAACTTTTGAATTGATACTTCATTCTGAATAGAATATGATGGTTCATATAGACATCCAAAGTGTCATTGACCATGTCGTCTCTCAAAGTATATATCATATAATTTCAATGGATTACTCGAACACGGTGTCTGCGTGGCAAGCGGCGACGAGCGGGATGTGTATCACAAGTCGTCGATGTCGTCGATGGAACTGTTGTCGCTGTTGGAGCTGACGTCGCTCAGGATGAGTCCTGACTCCGACACCGAAAGCAACGAGGAATCTCCAAACACGGCGTCTAGTTCCTCCAGGAAGTACTGATCTATTGGAGGCGGAAGTGGCTCCTGATTGGCTGGATGGCTAAGAGAACTACTTCCGTTTGAGTTATTCTCCCGTGCGCATGTGTGAAAGTTTCCATTTTTAACAGAGTCGGTATTGCACTCATGGAGATGCGCTTCTGCTGACAGCAGGTCCATTGAGTGAGACTGAGACGAACTTGATGAGACACTATCTTGGTTCAAGAGACATCTGTGGTATCCGTCTCCGAAAGAAGTTCCCCTTGAAGCCCTTCGGCCGAGGTAAAGAATGTCTTGTGATCCTCGAGTTTTCAAGGGGGACATAACTCCGTTATTGCACTCCCGGACGTCGTGCAAGCACTGACACGTGAATTCCTGACCCCGGCTCGCGTAGGAGTCATCGCTCTGAGTACTGTCCTGTCGTGTGACGTGATCCCGGACGGAGACTGGTAAGCTAGAACTTCGACGGATGCGCAAGACGGTTTCCAGTTCCGTCACCCGTCTTGTGGCTTTCTTTAAACATTTGTCTTTTTGACGAAGCCTCCTCTGATATTCCTCACACTGCAAAAAAAATGACTCTAGATAAAAACAAGTTTAAAACATTAGCGATATAACACCTTATTCACTTCTAATCGTCAGACGTCAATATGCAATTGGATACACTCTTGGGGTTGCAGTTATTAGTTAGTCCTTTAGTCCTTTATATATATTACGTTCAATATCAACCCGTGATGATCCGCGTTAGAGTAGTTCTTATGTAAACCATACTTGACGTAAAAGGCGACTATGTTTGTCGTAAGAGCTAGGCGACTAACGGGATCGGATGGTCAGGGTCGCTGACACTTGGTTGAAGCATGTCATCAGATCCCAATTGTGTGAATCGATGCTCATGATGTCAATCACTGGGTAATCTGGTCCAGACTCGTTTATTTACCTACTGCCGTCATATAGCTGGAATATTGCTGAGTGCGGCGTTAAACAACAAACAAACAATTTAACATTCAATATCAGTGACCAGAATACTGAGAGCCCACTATTTTCTGTTGTTTTGATTTTCATTATCGGTTGCCTGAGTGTGGGCAGCCATGAGTTCACTCAGCTTTGTAATTCCCTAAATGTCGACACTGCTTCCACTATCAGTGGTTGGTTTTTCGACACTCTGGCCATGAACGCTCTGAGACATGGCAGGTTGCGTGTCGTCACGCCCCAGTGCTTATGTTGATTGGTCACTACAGATTGTTTGCATGTAGGGTACCATTCGTGACCAACTCGTGTTATTCCGGGACAAGCCGAATAGCGACTCGTGTCCTCTCGTGGCCTTTTTGGCAACCGGTTTCCGTCTTAGCGCAAACGGGCATACCTAAAACAATTGTCAACTCGTTGCGCAATGGTTCACATATATTTCCCCATATATCATTTATATTTCAGATGCAATTAAAAGCACATCAGGACTCGTGGGTCGTGGGTCTCACCCAAAGTGTTCACGTCAAAGATCTGCATTACTTCGGGTTTTTCCCACATCAGGTCGACACGCCGTGGTATAACTGAAATACTGTTCAAACCGGCGTTAAAACAAACTCGTTCAGGACGGTACTGATCGTATGAACAGCTTCGGCCTTAAACGTTCCCGTGACCCCTCTGCATGGTTAGCAATACCTATCCGCGTTTATACTGATAATTATTTCAACTTAAGTCTACCAAAGATGAGGAATGTTAATTACTACACTAATTATAGAACGTTAATGAGTCTGCCAAAGGAAATTGGACCAACAGCCGACGACCATCTTCTGACATTTCCATCATCAACCAATTTTCAATTACATTTACACCAGGTCAAATACACGAAGAGGTTCACCTGGCATTTCGCCTTACTGTTGCACTGCGAAACCTGAAACACAAAGCACAGCTCGGATCACATCAATTTTAGTGTTTAAATGTTTTTATATTCTATCAAACTTTAGATACATTGCACTCATCATTTCATTCATTCATGCTCTGTGTGTACATACTTTTTCTGTTTTGTACATTTTTGTTCTTTGTACTATAATATATGAAAATAAAGCTTCTTGCGTCTGTATCTTGTGCATCTGTTATGAAATTGCACGACCTTGAATGGCCCTTCGACCAATATTTTGTTTTATCTTGGGATCTAATATTTCCCTAAAGATATTTGTTTTGGTCATTCCATTGATTATTCACGAAGGCTGTGAGTTCTGTAATATTGGACATGATCAAAGACAGTATAATTATGTGTGTGTTTTGAAGAAGTGAGCATAATCCTCCAAAATCCTTTTTGGCACATGAGGAAGAATAAGGAGGGACAGATATTTACCTGTGTGAGAACCGTCTTCATATCGCCGATGACTTTGTGCAGCTCGCTCATTTCTTGACCTGCGCAGTTAACGGTTGATTAGGATAAGGAAAACGATATTACATCAATACATTAGGCCATTTATCCTTATAGTATTAGTTGTAGACACAGAGGAGCGTTGCTTTCACTAATGCTGACCTATGCTTAAAGTTTCAGTAGGGAAACAAACATGTTTGTCCTAAACCTTTCATATTTTTTCACATTTATGGAATTGTGTATCGGCCTATAGGTAATAAATACACCCCCTGAAGAAACCGTTTTCGCCAGATGCCAACTGGCTTATACTAGCAACTGCACTTTGGCCGTCTGTAACGTCAGTAATATTTGATGTGGCGGCGAGGTAGCGCAGTGGCTATACTTTGGCTCGTCACGCCGGAGACCCGGGTTTGATTCCCCCCTGGGTACACTGGGTGATGCCAATTCATGTTGTCCGACGTCGTGACATGGCTTGCTTCAAGCGCTGTAAATACTACGCATCCATTCACTCACAGTAACCCATGGTAACCAATCAATCACACATCCACCCCCTTCCCTTCGTAATGGAAATATTCTTTACGAACTAACAGGAGTGATTTCGCCGTATTATTGAAGATATTCACAGCAAATGTCCTTGTAATAATCTGAAAAAAGTCTACACCCATGTTTGATGGTGGCTAAACATGAAACATAAAGAAATTGTTATTTGATGGCGATGTATATGATATTGGAATTGGTTGTGTTTTGACCCTTATGTTTGCGGTGTTTCGGCGGCTCGTTTCGGTCTCGTAACGTTTTGCTAACGTTTGTAATTTGTGGGTCAAACCTAATTTTTAAGACTATACATGTACTTTCTTTCCCCCGGCAGTTTATTTTAGTGCACCAACAGGACATACACAACTGATAAACTACACATGCTTGGCGGGATATTATAAATTTTAATGAGGAAGGAGAGTTCAGCGTGACTGTCCATTTCCACTTTTATGGAATCCATTAGCACAAGGATCCTTGCACTGTCAAGGGGCGCAACTCTGCAGAGTGAATTGCTGCGCCTCAGACCACTTGGCAATCTGTACCTCCCTGATGTTAAGCTAGGGATTCCAATTGGAAGAGGCATGGTCGCGATCGTTACTTAATGTATGTTTAATGTTCGTTGAAAGTTGTAGGGCGGCTTGTATCGATGTACGACACTAGTTGCGATCGATCTGATGTTTAAAGGCGCCAGCTGGCTAGTGCATGTGCCGCTTTGGTCGCCATATGTCGCCTACAATCGCAAATGCCAACGAAATGAATAGAACTAGTATATACTTAAACATAGGTGTGAAAAACCAGACATCAGGCCCCTGTTTAGGTGTTCAGTAGAAGGCGGGGCAATGCGCTCAGTTTACAACCTGTCCAGAAAGGCAAGAATCCAACATGTGGACCTCTGTGTAGATATTAGTCTGATGTACAAGGTCTTTTGCGTCACATTCCAGACAGATTTCCAATCGATTGCCCTTTTTCTGTTTTCATATTTCTAAGATGCCCCCTCCTGGTTAAGATACTTTCCACTGCATTTATCAACTGTGTGACTGATTGTTGAGGGTGGTGTAAAAACCAGATTCACTTATTCACACATACACTCCAGTGTCTTCGCCTGGTCGATAAGAGCATCGCATCTAGCATCTCGAAACACCAGTTGACTCGAATATTGACCCATCTGGGTAACCCAAGGTCCTACATGCTTATAAAGCATCTATCTCGAAGTGAGTGAATAGGGAGTTTCAGTTTTAGTGTTATTCCAGCCATGTGACGGGGGGACTAGAGGGTACACGAATTGGGTTTCACACACTACCACTGTGAGGAATCTAACCTGGGCCCACTTGCACAAAGCGATCTTAGCGCTAAGACTATTGTAAGCCTATGCTAAAGTATGGGAGTTACGACCATCTTAGCGCTAAGATCGCTTTGTGCAAGTGGGCCCTGGACCGTCGCTGTGATGAACCACTGCTTTGACCACCTGGCTGTACCACAACCTCTCTGTCTCGAAACTATGGTTTACTCGAATATTGTTTTATCAAATTACGGTGTTAATAACTGCATCATACATGCTAAAACAAACTCCCAGTAAAACCACGACACCAACTGCAATTGCATTTTAACTATACCAATCCTTATTCCTTTACCACAATTATCTGTTGGCTCAAAGCTCATCTCAGGTATCTCATACTTGTTTAGAGTAATGATCATATATACCTCGTGCAGATATGAGCTTAGCAAACCCTTCTTGTCTCATGACGTCAGCAAATATGTCACGTGCTCGCCTCTTGGGGGTGGTGTTTGCCCTGCGGGTGCCAGCGTCCGACTTCTGCACCCCTTTTGTCTGCATCATCCTGGGGAATAACAGCTGAGCATACATCCCGACACACTGATGCAACACATCAATACACAAAGCCCACTGTGACTCTACGGAAATAATTAACTTGAGATTAAATACTGTAGCGCCCAGAGCACCGTTCCACAAAGCGATCTTAGCGCTACGACTGTCGTAAGTCAGTGTTAAAGAATGGGAGTTACGATCGACTTAGCGCTAAGATCACTTTGTGGAAAGGGGCCCAGGTCAGGATTGGAAAAAGAGTTATTCAGGCAGGCTAAAGCGGGGTAATTTTAACGGCTCTTCATATTTCATTCCTATGATAAATCGTACCATGTGTGTGTCATACCTGCACATTACACACTGTGCTATCAATACCGCATATTGAAGAGATACAAAACCATTTATCATTGGCTTACTGCATAACATATTTCTTGGTTTAGAAACACTTACTAGCACAACGAACCTTAACATGACATCCGGCAACATCTGAATCACTTGAAAGCGATTGGTCCTCAAGGCAAGTGGCACTTAAAGACTTGTCTAGTCAGGACAAAGGTACTTACCGTTCCTTCGCCTGGGCCTCCAGTATTTCCTTTGCGTTTGGGTACTCCACAAGGGCCTAGGAGAATCAGCATGTGTATAAGTAGCATGTTTGTTTGTTTGTTCATTTGTTGGTTGACGCAACACTCAGCAATATTCCAGCTATATGACTGTGTCCTGTAAATACTCGAGTTTGGACCAGACAATCCAGTGATTCACACTATGAAATAGGATCCACAGAGCCGGGTTACATTGACATGCAATCAACCATGTCAACGAGCCTGACTACCCGATCCATTTGGTCGCCTCTTACGATATGCATAGGATGTATTCTAACCCGGAATCCCCAAATACATGTCATACGATATGATGTCATACCAGTATCTGTCTGGTCAGACGTAGCCGGGTAGTTATACCTGTTACTTCCGGTGATGTCATGACTCATTTGACTGAAGTTGGAGTCTGAATCAGTTACACGTTATTGCCTAGGCAACATAATAAATACAAATACTTTCACCAACAAAGTATCACTAAAACCTTGATGTTGGTAGGAACACCTACACAAGCAGAAACGCAAGCAAGAACGCAAGCACACACGGTCAAGATATACATGTGTCCATCAGCGCTACAACGTGTAATTTTAACGAACGAAGTGATAAACGTTTTTGCAGTTAAATGTATACTTCATAATTACTACACTGACCATTCATTACTAAAAATACAAAACCCATCCCCAGATCATCTGATATGTTTGTTTGTTGTTTAACTCCACACCCATAGTGCAGCTATATGACGGTGGTCTGTAAATAATCTAGTCTGGACCAGACACTACAGTGATTGACATCATGAGCATCGATCTACACAATTGGGATACGATGACATGCATCGATCAACCAAGAGAGCGAGCCTGACCACCGATCCGGTCTGTCACCTCTTACCACCAACAGGGGCGGTCGGGTAGCCTGGTGGTTACAGCGTTGCTCGTCACGCCGAAGACCCGGGTTCGATTCCCGACATGGGTACAATGTGTGAAGCCCATTTCTTGTGTTCCCCGCCGTGATATTGCTGGAATATTGCTAAAAGCGGCGTAAAACCATACTCACTCACTCACTCACTCACTCACTCACTCACTACAACACAAGTCTGGCTGAAAGATAAGCCAAGGAGAGGTGTTGGAAGGAATGGATGGATCCACTGAGTTCAAGTACCAAACTCCATGCTGTGCTACGAAACGGAATAGTGACATATGTTGGTTTGTTGTTTAACGCCGCACTCAGCAATATTCCAGCTATATGACGGCGGTCTGTAAATAATCGAGTCTGGACCAGGCAATCCAGTGATTGACATCATGAACATCGATCCTGACAGGGGCTACTGAAGACCAGTTCTTACCCAGATCGTATCTGTTAAATAGGCTACTGTGGTTTTTAGGTCAAGGAATATGAACAAGAATTGTGCTTGGTAGTCCCACTAACCGAGATAGGTGCTAGGCTCATGCGTTAACAACGCAGTCAATATCTCAAAGCCAGCTGTCGCTCAGAGAGTGAAACTGTCTGTCGCTGGGTTATAGATTCTTGCAATCAAATATCCGTCAGTGACAGCGACGGGATTGTACTAATTTTCCAGAAACACAACGCAACACAATGACAGTCCTGGTTTAACGAACATATCAGGATATATCAGGACATATCTTTAAGGTTAAATCATTACCTTGTGTAAAACTGTACTCATCCTTATCCCAATTAATTGATCTACTACATTGTGCTATTGTCATACTGAAGTGAGTGAGTGAGTTTGGATTTACCAAAAAAGGTTTTTTATATATTTGATTCACATTGGGATCGAACCCCGATCTTCGGCGTGACGAGCTAACGCTTTAACTATTTGGCTAAACAACCTCCATTTGTCCTTCTTTGAAAGACATTATAACCCCAGATACTAGTATAACTATACTCATATGTTAATGATAACTATAAAAAAATAGAGAGATCAATTATTGCGAGTATTTTCTATAGAACCCACTGACATATGTAGAAGAGAAAGAGCTCTTGCTAATTCAAAATTTATCACCTTATAAATTTTTCATAATATGGAAATGTGACATTGAATATTCCACACTATTTGGTTTTAAACAGCCCTTCTCCCAAAGGAATATGACGCCTTGAGTTACAGCAGTAGCACTGATACATCTGTAAAACCTCAAGTCAATCAAAAATGAAATCAAGCATTTTATGCTTCCAAGTAATGTCAAGGTTGAATTCAACAACATCATGGCACAATAACACCGCCGGTGTGTCTATTGTAAAATGTTCCTTATTTATTCGTTTTGTATAAACAGTTTTGTGACTCACCGAAAGGAGATCTCGACGGGACAAACACAGTAGCTCTGAGTAGCCGATAGCCCGTACGTCCGCTGTACGTCTGATAAACATATAGGCATGAATGTACACAAGCCATTCAAATACGATCTCGAACATGTTTTTTTTGCGGAATTGGACTGTATAATTCCAGAACAGAACGTATGGCTCTTTAAACGGAGAAAAAGGAGATTTATAGCATTAATAAGTCCATGGCAGATACCATCGGTTTGTTACTTAATGCTCTAATGTTGTGTGATAAATAGAACCGTGTCGTTGCTTGCTCCTGGTTTTATAGTGTACATGACCTTAGATTACATTGTCTTTTTGCATGCAACGAGGGATTAAAATTGTTCGCGCTTGTAACGGGGAACCTAATAATGATCGTAGCTGATCATTTGAAATATTGGAGTGCAGGATGAGGTATGCGTGTAGGCTGCAAGAGGAATCTCGGAGGACTTCGTTGTTGTGTAGGCTGCAAGTGGAATGTTGAAGGACTTTGGTGTAGTGTAGGCTGCAAGAGGAATGTCGGAGGACTTCGTTGTTGTGTAGGCTGCAAGTGGAATGTTGAAGGACTTTGGTGTGGTGTAGGCTGCAAGAGGAATGTTGAAGGACTTTGGTGTAGTGTAGGCTGCAAGTGGAATGTTGAAGGACTTTGGTGTAGTGTAGGCTGCAAGTGGAATGTTGAAGGACTTTGGTGTAGTGTAGGCTGCAAGTGGAATGTTGAAGGACTTTGGTGTAGTGTAGGCTGCAAGTGGAATGTTGAAGGACTTTGGTGTAGTGTAGGCTGCAAGTGGAATGTTGAAGGACTTTGGTGTAGTGTAGGCTGCAAGTGGAATGTTGAAGGACTTTGGTGTAGTGTAGGCTGCAAGAGGAATGTTGAAGGACTTTGGTGTGGTGTAGGCTGCAAGTGGAATGTTGAAGGACGTTGGTGTAGTGTGGGCTGCAAGAGGAATGTTGAAGGACTTTGGTGTGGTGTCGACTGCAAGTGGAATGTTGAAGGACTTTGGTGTAGTGTAGGCTGCAAGTGGAATGTTGAAGGACGTTGGTGTGGTGTAGGCTGCAAGTGGAATGTTGAAGGTCTTTAGTGTGGTGTAGGCTGCAAGAGGAAGGACGTTGAATTTGATGTAATCTGCAGGTTGAATGTTGAAGTACTTTAAACTGCCTGTGGAATTTTGGACTTCTTTGAGACAACGCAAGGTTGAATGATGAAGCGCTTCAGTTTCAATTTTGATCACATTACATTCAACTGAACAGTACACTTTGGTAATATCTCACCTGTTCTGGCCGTCGTCCAACTTGAGGAGGCTGATCTCCCCGAAGTAGTTCCCCGGGGTGAGGATGGCCACCTGAGTCCTCTGGCCCGCCACGGCGCTAGGGACCAGGATCTGGCACAGACAGTCAGTCGATCAGTCAGTGCAAAGTATACACCTACCCACACTTACCATGAACAAGGACACAAAGGACCAACACAAGCACACAAAGGACTAACGCAAGGACATATTCAGGCAATATCGCAGTACACGGGCCTCTACATGGGGCTTGTAACCTTGTCATCTCTATTATCAAAATATTACTTAGAATATGTAAATTATATGTATATAAATTTATGTTGTACGGAAAGCCTTTTTATATAATATAATGGAGTCACGTAGTTCATTTGTACATACGTACCTCTACCCTTCCATGGTTCAGAATGTACATTTCACGACCTGAAAATAAAATAAAATGAGTGTTTTCCTTTGCAAGACTAATATGTTCATCAGCCAGAAACATCTCGGAGGATGAGCCCCTCATTCAGGAGATGTATCATGCTGTTTGACTTTCTCGTCGTTCTATCACGAATACATGTCTATCTGAGACCCACCCGGCAATCTATCAATGCTCTAGCTATAGGCTTCTATATGGCAAGCCTTTGGACCTCGGATCTCCTCATATTAATGGACTAGACAACAGACACAGTCCTCTCTGTTTTAGAGACGTGTGCATCTCTCAAGGGTCCAAGGGTCCAAGGGTCCAAGGGTCCAAGGGTTCAAGGGTTCAAGGGTCCAACCTTATTCGTCAAATACACCCCTTGTCTATGCATCTCTCAGGGCGCTTACAGCTACACGTCAAAGCAGAGTTCCAAAAGGACGGCTATGTGTGCACGACAGTGTGTAAAACTATGTACCTTTCTTTCAAGGCTCTACCCCTTACACACCAAGCAGTAGCCCCCAAAGGGGTGACTGTGAGTCTGTAATGCTGTACCTATCTCTCCAATGCGGCAGATGTAGTCCCCCGGAGAGTAGATCTGTGGCCGCAGTTTCAGCACCAGCTCCCTCAACAGTCCTTCCTCGCACTCCTCGAAAATCTTCACCTGGACAGCAATTCTTGATCTTGTATATAGTTGTATGATATGGTCAAATTTAACAGTAATATTGTCAAGTGCACTCCACCTTGTTTTGAAATTTAATTATTATTTTATGCAGAAGTAATAAACAAATGTAAGATGACTGTGCATTATGAATGACTTCGTTACTTCTGGAGGCCACGGGTGGTCCAGTGGTCTAAGGTGTCGCCATTATCTGACCTGGGTTCCGACCCTTATGCTGTCTAAAATTCTAATATCACTTGTACGAATATCAGATTCGCTGTCATTTTGGTTATTACCGAGGGCTTGTTTCCAAGTCATTAACGTCTAAAACTTGGATAACTTCAGACTTTACTCAGGATTCGATATTCCTAAGTTCGAATCCCAAATTCTTCCTAATTGTGATCCTTCGTATAACGACAATGTCAGAGGTTGAAGGTTATACCATATTGTCTTCGGTCGCGTCTCTTCGGACCTTCCTTCCAAAATTCAACCAAGAGGTCGTGATGTAACGGAAATATTGTTCAAAGCGGCATGAAACTCAACTAACTCACTCACTCAGTTACGATGAGTGGCCATGGAGTTGTCATTTGCACATCTTGTATTACCTTCTTTAGTGTCTCCAGATGCACATGGATGGCGATCTCTGTCCGCAGTCTCTCTGGCAGAAGTTGCAACACACTGGGCTCGTCTATAGCCTTGGTCCTACCAAACACAGATACACAGGTGTATACACTAAACTAGCATCCCAATGTTCACCTATAGCCTTGGTCCTACCAAACACAAATACACAGGTGTATACACTAAACTAGCATCACAATGTTCATCAAGCTATAGCCTTGGTCCTACCAAACACAGATACACAGGTGTATACACTAAACTAGCATCACAATGTTCACCTGTACAATAGGTCCTACCAAACACAGATACACGGGTGTATACACTAAACTAGCATCACAATGTTCACCTATAGCCTTGGTCCTACCAAACACAAATACACAGGTGTATACACTAAACTAGCATCACAATGTTCACCTATGGCCTTGCTCCTACCAAACACAGATACACGGGTGTATACACAAAACTAGCATCACAATGTTCACCTATAGCCTTGCTCCTACCAAACACAGATACACAGGTGTATACACTAAACTAGCATCACAGTGTTCACCTGTACCCTAGGTCCTACCAAACACAGATACACGGGTGTATACACTAAACTAGCATCACAATGTTCACCTGTACCCTAGGTCCTACCAAACACAGATACACGGGTGTATACACTAACTACATCACAATGTTCACCTATAGCCTTGCTCCTACCAAACACAGATACACGGGTGTATACACTAAACTAGCATCACAACGTTCGCCTGTACCCTAGCTCCTACCAAACACAGATACACGGGTGTATACACTAAACTAGCATCACAATGTTCACCTGTACCCTAGGTCCTACCAAACACAGATACACAGGTGTATACACTAAACTAGCATCACAATGTTCGCCTGTATCCTAGGTCCTACCAAACACAGATACACGGGTGTATACACTAAACTAGCATCACAATGTTCACCTGTACCCTAGGTCCTACCAAACACAGATGCACAGGTGTATACACAAAACTAGCATCACAATGATCACCTGTACCCTAGGTCCTACCAAACACAGATGCACAGGTGTATACACTAAACTAGCATCACAATGTTCGCCTGTAGCCTTGGTCCTACCAAACACAGATACACGGGTGTATACACTAAACTAGCATCACAATGTTCACCTGTACCCTAGGTCCTACCAAACACAGATACACAGGTGTATACACTTAACTAGCACCACAATGTTCGCCTGTACCCTAGGTCCTACCAAACACAGATGCACAGGTGTATACACAAAACTAGCATCACAATGTTCGCCTGTACCCTAGGTCCTACCAAACACAGATACACAGGTGTATACACTAAACTAGCATCACAATGTTCGCCTGTACCCTAGGTCCTACCAAACACAGATACACGGGTGTATACACTAAACTAGCATCACAATGTTCACCTGTACCCTAGGTCCTACCAAACACAGATGCACAGGTGTATACACAAAACTAGCATCACAATGATCACCTGTACCCTAGGTCCTACCAAACACAGATGCACAGGTGTATACACTAAACTAGCATCACAGTGTTCGCCTGTAGCCTTGGTCCTAGCAAACACAGATATACATGTATATCCACCTGAACAGAACCACATTCTTAGACCTGGTCTATGGTGAACAAGTCGTCGCGAAAATATAGCGTTGTCAGATTACAACAGCGTTAATCTCCACCCGCTGATTCCATTCACACATCACTACAACTATCAGAAGTTACAGCTATATGAAGTGCCCTATGACTTTCAATATTCATCTGTCAAAAACATATGGGCTTCATTTGATTTGTTAAGGCTTTGGGATCAAGTTTGGCCGCCCCAGTAGAAATACGCTTCCAGGAAACTACTGATCGCCCCAGTGCCATATGTTCTTGTTTCATCCTTTCAAAGAAACATTACAATACAATATCTATACCGCTGTCTCGTGTACAACACAACAGTCAAACCTCAGAACAAGCAGTCATATTTATTGTCTAAATCTGAACAACCAGTTTTATTAAATCATCATGTCCTCGAAATGTGTGATATGATCGTCGCTAGACGCCATATATATAACTGATAAACTTCTCTACTCCATATTGCTGACAGATAGAAGCATCACCTTTCATCACCTACTGACACACGGTGCGTTACGGAGGACACAGGAGAGCGGGCTATCACCAAGCCGTCACCAAGTTCACCGTGAAGATAACGGAACCATTGTGATTATGAAATTAAGCCAACTTTGCGGAAATAATAATTGACTCAAACCGTAACCGATACAGCATCGAAACATACATAATTTACACAGGGCTTCCGATTTATTGTTCAAATGTGGTCGTAGAAAAGTAGGAAGATGGATTAATCTGACTCGGCTGGCGTTTGCTGCTGGCAGTGTGCTTTGTTACTTCCGCACGATGTACTGTTCTATACCGCTGTTATGTCTGTAAAAATGCACAATCCTTGTGTATTTATTCTTGGACCTGATTCCTCCTTGGGAATAATCGATATTATTTGACTATAAAAACACACAACATACTAACTAGAAGTAAAGTGCCCTCCTAAAAATGCTATTACTGAGTAATTTCTGCTTTATAATCTTTGCTCCCATATAACATGCCATTATCCCTCGTTTGTCGATCGTCAACGTGTGGCTGTGGTCGCATACACGTTCTAAAAATTGGGAAGAGAAAATTACGTGATCCTTAAAAGAACCAGCTTCAGTGGCCATTCCGGTAGTTCAGTTTTGATTTCTTACATTGCACTTTTAGCACGACCTCTCTGCAATTTGGTATAGGGATTAAATTGACCATATGGGGTTTCATGCAGTAAGGATCCTGGGGAATTCCTAGAGTTGAACTCGAACCCCGTTTTTTAAGTGGAACCTGTATTGTTTGTTCTTCAAACTCAAAACATATCAAACAACAGACCCTTTGTTCTGGAACAGCTGCAAGAAATCTATAGCGTACGCATGGCTCATCCCCGGGGTCGTACCAGATACATACAGTGTCGGTCGTACCGCCTGGCGCTACTGATATCCTTCATCATTGTAACCATGCTCCAGACTTTAGCGTGCACGTCGACTTTAGGGGCAGTAAGGTAGCTCAGTGATAGACGCGATCGCTTGTCCCGACGAAGGCAGGGTTTCTATTCTCCATATGGGTACAATGTATGAAGACCCTATTGCTGATATTGCTGAATATTGCTTAAGTCTCGTAACACAATGTAAAAACTCACTCAAATACTACTCTCCACGTTTGTCCAATTTTTTAATTTGATTACCTCCGATCAAACCTTCCCGAAACATGTGTCCAAACCATTGAATGTTGGGTAGCAAATAACCCAGGTTGCAATGTCGACAAATGTCAATGAATAAAATGAAAAGAATGAAGAATTAAAACACAACGTTGGTACCTTGCGTTTAATTAATAGATTATCTGACCCATATACAGCGGAAGATTTAAGGTTGGTTGGTTGGTTTGTTGTTTTACACCACACTTATCAATATTCCAGCTATATGACGGCGGTCTGTAAATAATCGAGTCTGGACCAGACAATCCAGTGATTAATATCATGAGCATCAATCCACGCATTTGGGATCGAGACATGTATCAACCAAATCAGCGAGCCTGACCACCCAATCCCGTTAGTCGCCTTTTACGACAAGCACAGTCGCCTTTTACGGCAAGCATGGGTTGCTGAAGACCTATTCTACCCCGGAATCTTCACGGGTCGGAATATCTAAGGGTTCATTTGGAATATCAATGTAGAAGCATTAGCTCAGGACCAACCTGTTCCACGTATAGTCCGCCCATTTTTTCACCCGGTCCTGAAGATGCTCGGGGACATGCCGGTGCTGCATATAGAACTTTATCTGGTCCATTCTGTTCATGGGGAGGTAAAACAAAAGTTTCATATCAGCTATATTAAAACATGATTGTTCACCTTTATCGGCCTTATCAAATCTTGTTCAACGTCATCGAATGGTATACCAGTAATATTGCATTTTAGTAATATGACTAGACACTGCTGTCCCACATACCGTGCCTGGAAATCCTGTCTTGCAGCGTGGATGTTGCTGATGACGTCACCGACGTTCCCAACAACGGCGGCGAAAACGAAAACGCCGATGAGGAACGTCAAGCCAGTGAAGACATATTCCTGGTACAAGGTTGAGAAAGGCACAGTTAGTATCCGCCTAAAACAACCCAATCTTTCCCCCTTAACTCGAAGTCGAGAGAACCAAGAGCCAATGAGAGATGAGAGATGGGAGTGAAACGAAAACCTATGAGGGATGGACACGGGAGAACACACAGGGTGTAGGTTCTTGGCGAAGGGGTTACGCTTATTTGATCATTTATCCTTTGAAATCTCCTCCTACTCTGCACCCAAAGCTAATACCAAACTAAAGGCAACTTTATGGACAAGTCTCATGTATTATATTTAAATAAATTATGACCTCATTTGCAAATACAACCTCATTATACTGCGTACTCTTTAATGAATTCGTGCCTCATAACTGGTTGTATGAGTTGGATACATCAGACGAAAAGGAATTTGTATTTTCAAGAAAACATGTTTTGCCATTTCATTAAAACATTTCATTCGCCCACTTAAAATTGACTTTTTCTTTGACTTCACACCTGACAAAAAGACCCGATTCCATTTATTCTTCCCATTCAATCTGACTGTCAACGGCAACAGGTTCCTGAGAATGTGCATGCCGTTGTTTGTCTGAGACGCGAGAACCGGAAGTGATGGCGCGGTCTTCCTGACTGTCAAAGCTTGTGAAAGTATGCCCCGATGACAGGTTCGAATGTACTTTAAGGGAATCCCCTCGGGGCCCGTGTCAAGATTTTATGAATTCTTCATGTTATTTCCGGTACATAGGAACGTTTGATCCCTCCCGGCACTGTACGCCAGGAAGTACATTCTTAGAATCTGTCCCAGAAAAAGATTGTTCTTCACTGGAGAGAAACCATTTACTTTTGCAGATATTCAGTGCCCGATTTCCACACTAACACAGCTGGCTCGAATCGAGCAACTTCATACAATGCTAACAACTGCGTCACAAGGACGGAGATTATTCTTTATTCAAAAATTAATTTCCTGTTCGCTTTCCATCTCGAGTGGGATTCACGTCACAGACGGACTGAATATACACAAACATATAGCGCATTCAAAATGTTCAAGTTACCTACTTAATTATTGCTGCTAGCTAATGTTAAAGCTACTACCTCCTTTGGGACATCACCCTTGTAACAGCAGGTACTCTAACATAGTCAGTTGCAAGTGTTGACCAATATCCAACCGTTACTGTGGGTATTGAATGAAGTGAAGTTTAACGAGATAAAACAGTTTGTTTCATATTATATGAAAGGTTTCCAAAATCGGACAATTTCGTTAGGAACGCCACTCTTCATATTTACGAAGTCTCGGTAAGTCAAAGTTTCGGTAAATATCGGCCATTGTTCACGTTGTCGAATTCCGTGTGCATCTCTGATGATACGTAACCACGATTAGTTAATCCAGAATCTTATACTGCACTGTAAGGATTAAAGAGATGCAAGTTGACTGTTAATAGTAGACAATCATAATAGACGGTATACAAACCTACCAGGTCAGTGATAGGTGAGGGTCTCTCCCCAATTGTGGTCAGTGTCATGGTTGACCAGTACGTACACCGGATGTACTTCCTGGAAACAGAGAAGGTTTTCATTGATGGTATGGACAAATGGTGGTATGTTATACCATAGGATTAAGGACAAGGTATCATAAAGGCTCTTTTCGACAGCAGGATTTGCATAATTTAAGAAATGAGCAAACTCTTAGAATTTGTTAGGATGTTTGTTTCTTTGTTGTTTAACGCCACATCCAGCAATATTCCAGCTATATGACGGCGGTCAGTAAATAATCGAGTCTGGACCAGACAATCCAGTGATTGACATCATGAGCATCGATCCGCGCAAATGGGATACGATGACATGCATCAACCAAGTCAGCGAGCCTGACCACCCGATCCCGTTAGTCGCCTTTTACGGCAAGCATTGGTTACTACCCCGGATCTTCGCGGGTCTGTCTGTAGTAGTGACTGGCCCATCAAAACCCGAGATGTGGTCAAGACAGCATATATAGTATGAACTAATGTAACTTGTTTCATAAACCCTTCCCTCTCCTTTTTAAGGCAAGCATGGGTTGCTGAAGAAGCATTTTCCTATAAATATGAACATGAACAAGGCTTTCACAGAAAAGACAGAAAAAAGCCATCTGTCAGTCACTGAACATGTCTGTCATTCTAATATTTCAATTTTTTCTGTTACTTCAAATTTGACATTTCCATTCCCTGGCCCTCTCCATCCTACCTCGTCCTTACCAGATATAGTGCCATGTTTACCCAAAGGAAACCAGAGCCTTGACATTTTTTTATATAAAAAATAGGAAGCTCTCTCATACCACCTACGGATGAATAAAACCTTCACTCAAAGCAACAAATCAAAACGTTTTGCCATGAGACCGTCAGCCCAGTGGTCTATAGACATAATGACATGTAGGTCGAAATAGATGTGTTCTGCAAGCATGGGTTTTACCAGTGCAACAACAGACACAATAATGATGGTTGTTAATTCGACAATCTGTATAACTGTGGTCGTAAAAGAAACAAAGTAGAGTCTTGATCCCAAAGGGACCCGCGTCTACGACTATTAGCAGATATACATCAAAGTGTAGGATCTACGTCGGCTGCAGAGACATGATAACCTTCAGCATCGCGGCCCTTAAATGCAGATTCTAATTCCGTCTAGGATCTCCAGCGTAGTCGGACGATGACAATTACACCAGCATGATCCGGCTACTGTTTAGGATTTCGACATTAGCATACAGAAGTAAGACTTCAAATTGTAGCAGTTCATTAAGACAAATCGATGACTATAGTGAAGGAACTGACCGTGCCAGGGCGCTGTATTCCTCGCCGTCGGGGTACACCCACTCGTTGCTGCCCAGGCCTTCATACTAGAAGAGGATCATTGGTATAAATAAGTTCTACCTTCATTCTGGACACAATAAGGATATAAATTGACAAGGATATATCATGCAGTTTCAATTATATATTACGTGCATTTTCAAGATATATCTAAAAGATTCTAGAATATATTGCCTACAGTTCCCGGGATATGTCGTACACAGATTCAATGATATATTACGTGCAGTTTCAAAGATATATGTAACAGATTCAAGAACATATTGCCTACAGTTCCCGGAATATGTCGTACACAGATTCAATGATATAGTACGTGCAGTTTTAAAGATATACGTAACAGATTCAAGAACATATTACCTACAGTTCCCGGGATATGTCGTACACAGATTCAATGATATATTACGTTCAGTTTCAAAGATATATGTGACAGATTCAAGAACATATTGCCTACAGTTCCCGGGATATGTCGTACACAAATTCAATGATATATTACGTTCTGTTTTCAAACCACAACGATTGAGTTGAAAGGATATATCGATTCACTAAAGTACCTTGTCGTACTAAATATACTAAATATGTCGTATGAAGGTCAAGATACGATAAGAGACCGTTTGGGCGCAAGGTAGCTGCACAATTAAAACATATTTAGAAATTGTAATGAAAGATATTAGATATTTTCATATGAATGAGAACTAAACTTTGCTTTTTGCAGCAATTGCTTGTTTGCGTGAAAACCCTAAGGGCATAAGTAAGGATAAAATGTGTCAAACAGGCTGATTTTAGGGGTTTTCATGAAGCGTTTTCTAACATTTAAACATCAGCAAGTATTGACCCAAGCTGCTTTTCTAGGAGATGTACATATAAAATAGTACAAACATACAGTAAAGAGAACATCTTGGGTCACAGACTTACTCATAGTTAGATCTTCAAACGTAGTCATACTTAGATTTTCATTTGAAGTTCTAAATATCTGCCTTTTTCACACATTGTACCCCAAAGTGTGTATTTGACCATGTCTGAAGTCCCAAACTTGCAAGTGTACGAGAAAAGGTTAATGGTCTGCCTAAGTTTTCGTTCAAATATTCTAGGATTTTCAAAACTTTAAAATTTGATATTTCAAGTAGGCCAGAAAAAGGCCCTATTCTATCGCCTCCTTTTCAAGATACGTCGTTGACTAATTCACCGGCATTTCTTACAGACATACTGCACGATACATACAATACAGTTTAAATATATGCATAATAGTATACAGTTTCAGTTATATGTTGTGTAGAGTTTCCAGAATATATTTTACAAAGTATTGGGAATTCAAAACAGCATAAACATACTTACTTAAACCTAAAAATCAATAATAATTGAAGCAAAGTGTTTATCATTTTAGAAAATTTCCTATAAGTTTGCATTTTGAACATACACATGCTTCTAGTAAATGATACCAGTCTTATACGTAACCGGAATCTTATGATATGGCATCAATGCCCACAACCAAAGCCACCGTAGAGTACAAATGTCGTCCCGATGGTCGGTTGGTTAAGATGAAATGATAAGCGTCTGATTAACTTAAGATAATAGAACCCTTCTTGTATGTATTCCGGATGCCAGTACTGTTAACTCAGTGTTCCTGAGACCGCCTCTAACCAGTAGCAACATCTGCAGGGCATTGACCACAGTGTTTATACCGACCAGTCCACGTCACTCACATACAAACAACGTCTCGCCCTTCATCTGCTCGTTGTACAAACAATGTCTGGGCTCCTATTTGCAGAATCTTCAAACGTAGTCCCCGCGACTAAGGATTCCGCCGTGACGCCGAATGAAGTCAACTTAAATTATCTAAAGTGACATAAACACGGAAGCACTTTGGTTTCTTTGACTTGTCGTGTATTGATCCCATCAAGATGTCTATTACAGGGTAATGAATAGGGCAGTTCTTCTAAAAGTGAAGCTTTTGTGGACAGCGGATGACATGACACATGTAAAACACCACAAAGAGACTATGAAAGAGGATTGGCGACACAGTTGCCAGTTTTCAGAAGAGAGTGAGGGATGGGAACAGTGACCTACCTCTGACGCCATATAGTAGATACATCCGATCCAATGGATGACCATCCACAGGTGGACAGAGAGCTTGAAGGCCCGGAGTAGATTGGGGTTGCTGGTGTGGCTGAAACAATGGACACGTCACAACGCTGCTAAACGAGAAGATCCGGGGTAGAATAGGTCTTCAGCAACCTATGCTTGCCGTAAAAGGCGACTATGCTGGTCGTGAGAGTCGACTAACGGGATCGGGTGGTCAGGCTCGCTGACTTGGATGATGCATGTCATCCTTTCCCAATTGCGTAGATTGATGCTCATGATATCAATTACTGGTTGGTCCATATTCGATTAATTTACAGATCGTTCTCACATAGCTGGAATATTGCTGAATGATGCGGCGTTAAACAACATTAAAAAAAACCCATCACCAAACATAACGCAACTTTGAACAATATTGCAGTTATCTCCTGACGTGTCAGCATTATGTTGGTGGAAAATCTAAATTGAAGCAGTTTGTAAGCGTTTAAGAAATGGTGAACGGATATTGTACCGATTCATCAAGGTATTCAAACCCACGATCATCAGATGGTGCACGATTACGAAAGGAAACTTTGCAGGGCGCCATTCGGTCGTCTTGCCCCCTCGCCAACCCCACCAAGTCTTACAACTTAATACTTAACACAATGATTCTTGAGTATTGAATATGGCAATTCTTCTAAAATGAACCTTATGTGGAAAGCGGAATACGGATGTCTTAAAGGATTTGCTGATGAATACACATTCAGAAGAAGGAACACTAACCTCAAAGCTGTTTACCTCTTATTCTCCGTCCTATTAGTAAATTACAACCTGCACCCAAGAACCAGTTACAATGGTATATTTACAAAATGCGACAGCATGTCCTGAAAGGTCCATTTGAAGTAGTTTGTTGTAAAGCATTACAAGCCCCTCCACAACATTCGTCAACCAACAACTGCGAGTCTTTGTACCATCTACGTTATAGTTGTTTCTACTTGAAAACAATCACTTGAGTACACACACCTGTTTTGAAACATACATAATTATATACAAAAATAGGGTAAATGTTCACTCGGTGTACATGTCATATATAATAAAATAATAAAGTCCACGTTAGGCCAACATCTTCTTTATATATAACTGATATAAAGATGTTGGACTAACGTGGACTTTATTAAAAAAAAATTAATTATATACATATATATATATAAAGTGGCGATATATATATATATATATATATATATAATACAATAATAAAGTCCACGTATATATATATATATATATATATATATATATATATATATATATATATATATATATATATGTAACTTTAGTCACCAAAGACATGACGATTCTTCAAAAGAATACATCTCGTGAGCTTTTTAGCGAATGTCGGTAGCATACGACAGTTTCGCGATTCTCCTTGTTTAGAACTACTATATATGCATCAACAAATCTCGCGGGAAATGTGTCCAGTAAGAGGGATAATGAAGTAATTGGAACCTATTTAACAAACAAGAAGAGCTCAGAGACAAATGGCTCGAACTTAAGATAAGACCTGGATTAACCTATCTCTCCTCGGGTTTTAGTGGCGTACTGTCTACACAGCGTGCCACTTCAACAGTTTCCAACGTCCTTTATCATGCTAAGTGTTTAATATGCAGCCTTTTGATTCAATTCTGCTCTTGTTGCACGATCAAATGTCAGGGCAGTTTAACGGCAAGGCCGGTGAGTGATCGAGGTTCGTATCGCAAGATGAAGCCTAACTATAGCCGGCTGTCCGATCGATGGCCGCGCTGACTGGCAGCTTACAAAGGTAATATTAGGCATCTATGTAGGTAATTACGATTCACTCGGAAACACCATCTGTTTAAGTAATACTTGTAATGCTTCTTATAGTGGCAGATAATCCGACAGGAGGCTTCGTAAATCAGACACCGATGAAATTAATTTTCCATTGGAAATCATTCTGACGGAACACTGTGTCAGAAAACCTAATCAGGTGAGGGGAAATGATGGACGCGTGGTATGATGGCTTCATATGGCAACACATACCACTCACGCAGACAATATTCAGATAACTGTATTGAAAGTATAAACTTCTCAGTTCTGACAGCCGTATCCGGAACCTCTCTATCAACTGAGTATTATAATAATATCCAGTGGCGTTCAAGAAATGTCGGGATTCGGTTTCATCCGTGGAGCTGTGATTTTGGCGAGGGCGTGTTCGTGGAGCCATGATTCACCTGCTTCCGCGTTTGTTGAACCGTAAATCAGGTGCTTCCGTGTTCGTGGAGCCGTGATTCAGTTTCATCCGTGTTTGTGGAGTCGTGATTAAGCCGTTTCCGTGGTGATTCAGGCGAGTACGTGATCGTGGAGCCGTGATTTAGGTACGTGATTCTGGAACATCCGTGTTCTAGGGAGCGTGTTTCCGGTAGGCGCTTGTTAGTTTAGCCGTTATTCCTTGTATCCAGTAAATGTTCAACCGCGATTTCGTTTCCGTCGTCTTTGTGGAGCCACGAGCCATGCGCATCAGTGTTTTTGGAGCCGTGAATCCGGAACGTCTTTGTTTGCGGAGCCGTCATACCAGTACACCCGTGATTGTTAGGCCGTGAGTTAAACACCTGTAGTCATCACTCTAATTTTAGCAGGAATTTCTTATGAATATGGAAAGGGTTTTGGCGCTCTTTTTTAGTGTTAGTAGGGCATTGATTCCGGTACACACGTGTTTGTGAAGCGTTATTTATTCATATATCCAGTCGTGACTGAAGCATATCCGTGTTTACAGTGTCGTGATTCCGGTGCACCTATGTATGTGAAGCCGTGATTGAAGCATATCCGTCGTGATTCCGGTACACCTATGTGTGTGAAGCCGTGATTGAAGTATAACCATGGTTACGGAGTCGTGATACTGTACATCTATGAGGAGTGTTCATTAAAGATTTCCCCTAAACCACTTAGGGTTATCATATTTGGTTGAAATTTCACATGTGTAATGATACAGCACCGAACTATTAATCTTACCACTTTTACAGGTGTTATGATCGAGTAGGGTGTGACATTGGAGCCATTAGAATACCGAGCAGTGATTAGGTTTTTATATTTGAAACCACTTAGGGTTATCATATTTGGTTGAAATTTCACATGTGTAATGATACAGCACCGAACTATTAATCTTACCACTTTTACAGGTGTTATGATCGAGTAGGGTGTGACATTGGAGCCATTAGAATACCGAGCAGTGATTAGGTTTTTATATTTGAAAGGTCGCACACCAAAAGAAACTTTCGATGAAATGAAAGCAACTTATGGGGAAGATGCCCCATCATATGACGTTGTTAAACACTGGCATCGCCAGTTCAAATGTGGTCGGACATCTGTGGAAACAGCTGCCATTCCTGGTCGCACCCATTCAGCCATTGATGAGGACACTATCCATCAAGTGGAGACCGCCATTTTGGCAGACCGACGTATAACTGTTCGCCAGTTAGCACAAGATGTCAAGATCAGTGTAGGGTCTGTGGAAAAAATCATCCATGACAATTTGAACATGCATAAGGTGTCTGCACGATGGATTCCCAGGTTGCCCACACCTTTCCAAAAGCAGGAACGAGTCAATTGCTCAAAGGATCTTTTGGACATGTGCCAAAAAAAACAGGCAAACTTCTTTGACAGACTTATCACACAGGAGGAAACATGGGTCGATCACTATGATCCTGAGACTAAAGTTCAGTCGATGCAATGGAAGCATGTGGAGTCACCACCCCCAAAGAAGGCACGTGTCCAACCCTCTGCAGGCAAGGTCATGCTCACGGTGTTTTGGGACCAGCACGGAGTAGTGATGATGGTTTTCTTCGCAAAGGGTACCACAATTACAGGAGCTTATTATGCTTCACTGCAGCAGAAATTGCGGGACGCTATCAAGCTTAAGAGGCGTGGCATGCTGACCAAGGGTGTCCGTCTCCTGCAAGACAATGCTCCAGTACACAACTCTCATGTTGCCTAGACAGAAGCGCGGTCCTGTGGCTATGAAATCCTTCCACATCCTCCTTACTCTCCTCATCTTGCACCATCTGACTTCCACCTCTTTCCAACCATGAAGTCATTTTTGAAGGGAAAACGTTTCACAGATGATGAAACACTGATTTCTGAAGTCAAGTCCTGGTTTGAGACGCAAAATGAGGGCTTTTACAAGCGAGGTCTCCATAGTTGCATAAAACGAAGGGAGAAGTGTGTATCTCTTGGTGGTTCCTATGTGGAGAAAGAATAATACCTATGCCAAGTTTCATTCCACCAGGTCCATCGGAATTGGGTCAGGGGAAATCTTTAATGAACACCCCTCGTATGTGTATGAAGCCGTGTTTGAAGTATATCCGTGTCAGTGGAATTGGATACATGCTTATGTCATGCCAGTGTTTGGTAAAGCCTTGATTCCTTTACTTTCGTTTATTCTAACCATGGGATTGGTATATCCCCCGTTTGTGGGATTACATCCTTTTGGAAAAGGTTTATCGTGGTTACATTGGTACCAGCAGTATTATTCTTGTCGTCATCACTCACTCACATCATGTATTCCCGGGGTATCGCTACGATTTTGTTGAATCTTTATTTCATGTAACGTTACACACGAAATTGTAACACACAAAAGTGACACACAAGGTATTTACAACACTGCTCCCATATTCATCAAACTGTTTGATCCAAAGTCTCCATATATAACTATTGTTATGGTCGATACAATGGAAGTCTGCAAATTGTCGTCCAAAACGTCATTTCTGAAGAACTGTCACGCGAACACATTACAATCCCCCGATACCGGAACGTGGTGCGGACAGAGACTGTGAGTTAAACCTATAAATCTCCTCCTGAAATTCTGGGTAATGAGTTTGAAAAAGCACACCTCATGCCATCTTGCCTGTGCTTTGATGCACAACAGCAGAAGTCCAGCTTAGCTCGATCTCCGAGTCTGGTCACGTTTTGTTCCTGATGTGAATCATCATTACCCACTTGCAGATGAAGCAGAGGGAGCACGTGCTGAGATATAGGCGTTTACGGATTACAATAAGCCAACTAGCGGGGGGATCAGGGCACTATGTCCTTGTACGAAATATATAAAAAAAGCATTTCTAACAAAATCAGTTAAATCCCTATTGCAAATCACATTGCTATCGATTCTATGCTTTTCGAAACGCGATTAAGAAATACCATTGTTATGTTAATAGAATGTCTTTATCGAAAAGGACATCTGCATACAATGAAACGTCACAGACAAATGTCCCTAAGAAATCTGCCAGAGAGCAAACTCCTTTATTGTTTTTCACTCGGGGAATAATGCATGGCTTGATTAAGTTATGTAGCTAATGCCTTACCTGTCCGTTGCTTGGAAGAAGTTGGCAAGCGTGTGGTACTTGAGCAGGCGAGCTATCCTCATGATAGGGGCAGCCATGTGAGCTACAGTCATAAACACAGTGTAGGGAATTACTAGTACTCAGAGACCACCATTCAACTTCCAGTATTTTGGGTTGTTTACCGCTTCTTTCGCGTTGCAAAAGAGAACTGATTCTTTCAATCTTTTGTCCTACATGTTGGTCAAATTAGGGAGAGAAGTAACTCTTTGACCCTTTCTTTTTCCCTAAACATATTCCAAATTCTGTAAATTTATTTCAGTCGACTGAATCTTTTCAGAATTCACTTATATAATGTTTTTAATGTATAGTTTTATTTCAAACATGTAAATAATGTATAAAATAGAGCCCTAAGGGTTAAAGCACTTTAAAACTTATCATAATTTGTCCATGGACCTCCATGTTTATAAGTACAACTGTAGCCTAGTTCTTTTAAATCTGGAGTTGACCATATATTAAATTTTCAAATTAGTCAAATCTATCAATGACTACATAATCTATATTTGTTATGACTCGTAAAAATAATTGGAAATGAAGGCTAAAATAGAACGAGAATTACGTTAGAAAGTCGAACTTGTGTATAATCTCTCTACGCTCCTGTTGCTGCGACCGTATGGCGTTTAGTTTCTGCACAATTCGTCAACCAATCGCGACGCCATTATGAGATGACTCGGGGCTAATATCTGATTTATTCTATCGGACAACTACAATAGATACTTTAATACTTGAGTTTGGATAGCACGAACAACACGTGTAATCCACATCCACCGGATGCTGAAGAGGGGCCGGAGGCGCTGGACAATTACGTTCTGCCAGAATATCAGGCTAATTGTGCTGAGTCGGCACATTATAGTACAGTAAACTACGGTTATAACGAACACGCTTATAACGAACTAACGGATATAACGAACTAACTTTTAAGTCCCGACTATATGCTGTAGTTATGCTGCATATATTCTTATAACGAATTACGGTTATAACGAACTAAAATTAGTAGTCCCTTTGAGTTCGTTATAACCGTAGTTTACTGTAGTTGTTGGAAAGGTTTAAAACCAGTCGGCAACAAATACGTACTGTCTGAAAGAAACATTTTTATCTCGTTTCTTGTTAGCAGTCCGCACACCCCGTGTTACCATTCACGGAATTGGTTTGGATAAGTCGAAGTCTGAATCGTTTAAATAGGGGTATACCGATCACCATGGTAAGTAAGAAAGGGTAGGGTTTCTTAGACAAGCGACAGTTGCGAGAACACATTTAGTTGTAATATACGACTGTTAGAACAGAGTGAAAATTAAAATGAAATACTTCTGTTAGATAAAGACGTTATGTAAAAATATAGGTTTGTGACGTAGCACAGAGAAGTAAAAATGAAAAAAAAATGTCAAAGAGAGAGAACTCACTGGCATCGTGAAATATGACGTTAAAGGGTAGTAGCTGAAGAACACCTGCAAGAGAAGGATATGTCATCACGTGACTTCTCTATGTATTGAACAGATGTAACCGTACAAACTGGTGAATATGTTTAAATTTACTGATTATATTTTTAAAGGGTAACAACATTATCCGAGACTTTGACGTGATACTGGTTGAATGTTAACAGATTCGATTGGTGTTTGGCTGCAATAACGTGTTCAATGTACAGAAGTCTCGTGTCAGTGAAACCAGGTAAAACTCCTTGTCCCTTGAGAACCCACCTATTCTAAGTTTAAGTCAGACATTCTCAGTGTTATGAATTTGAAGTATTTGAAGCATTTGATGATAAATTAAATGAAAAGTGTTATCCCTCAGTAAGTGAGTGAGAGAGATGTTTTACGCCGCTTGGCATTGTTCCCTTCACATCATGACGGGGGACACCAGAAATGTGATTCACCCATTGTAGCCATTCAGGGAATCGAACTGGCTCTTCAGCGTAACGAGAGAACGTTTTAGTGAGCAGGCTACCCTACCGACCCTACTCAAAAACCAGTAAATATGCATTTTGTATTTTATACATTCGACACAACTGCTGTTGATTGTCTGACTTGAGCTTGAATAGTTATCATCATGCACACATGCTGTAGGTAAACAGAGGTAAATGATTAGATATAGTAACTCTTAGCATAAGCGTTTTTGGTGTCCCTATCAAAGAACATCGGTAGTATTGACATTATCAACATATTGAATGAAGGACATCAATAATAATTAACATTAATGGTGCCATTAGTATGACGTTCATGCTGTTATGTTCCCCTTTGTCAGACACATATCATGCATTACAGTATAATTCTTGGACAGCATTAATATATACTCCTAAAGATCAGCATGTTAATTATTTTAATGGTGCAGTGGTACATTGACATTTACAAGATGCATGTAGGTGTTCCCTGATTCTAGTCTCACCTGTCAACATCCCATACGCTGTGGTGAACGGAAGTATAGCCGACACATCCAGCAGAAACCTCGTCTTCCCGCGATAGTGACGAAACAACTGCTCAGGATCCCGAACCTATGTAATCCGTTATGTATGTTTAATACTAGATCTGAATGAACACCTTCATATAGAGGAGCCACGTGTCAATTTGACCAAGCTGGTGTATATGGAAAATAGTTAATAAAACGACAAAACCGTTTCAATATCCAATGGTATCTCTGCATAAAGAAGAGTCGATAGTTCGATTCCGACTACATCAAAAACATGTGTTTATGAATCACTACTGATGATACTGGGTGTTCGCGAAAAGGTGAGCGTATCCTGTCCCACCGGTGGCGCCCGTCAAAAACACATGCAAAGGCAAGTCAAAACACGCTGCTAGGCACATACTGGGCATACTGCATGCGTATGGGAAAACAGTTAATAAAGACAGGTCGAAGGTTACACCAAATTGGTTTGCGTCTCATCGGATGTTCCTCCAACATTAGTGCGTGGGTGAGTTGGGTTTTACGCCGCTTTTAGCAACATTCCAGTGGAGTCCTCCCACTTTAAATCAACAGCCCGTGATATTAATAAACGGCTGTGCCAAGTTGCGTTAACCCCAAATCACTCACTACCTTAACATTTAAGCCTTGAACATATCGTTCTGCAATTAAGCAGTAAAAATACCTGCCGTACGAAGGTTTCAAAGAACGTCATACGACTCTTGTTCAATGGTTCTTTTCTCAGAGTTGCAACATTCAAGGATTAGGTGAAACTTTCAAAAGGTTTTATCGTAGATAGGTGGAGGACATTTCCAAATTTGACGCATCATTGATAAAATTAATCTCCGATACTAATCCCTATTTTGAATTGTACAATATGTTGCAATGTTTTGTCAGGTGAATAATTTACTTCCCTCAGCATGTGTTGGTGTCGGGAGACACAGGTAGGGAACCAGACGCTCATATATTCGCGAACACCTGGTATTTTCACTGTAAGATAGTGAGTCATAAACACATGCTCGTGATTTAGTCGGAATCGTACAATGAGTAGAGTTTTCTAATGATAATGAAAATGGTTTTATCACTTGTATTTAAATACCGTGTTTACAGGGTCGATATGATCTACTTTGTTTAAGGACTGCATGTACAACAGCCAGGTGCTATGGATCTTCCATGAGGCATTCACGAACTCTAAGAAACAATGAAACTCATGCATTGTTTATTCGTGATTTTCAAACGCTCGGTATCCTTGTAGAGTATTGAAATTTTAAAGACCTCTGATCTCATTTCTGCTGACAGACACTGGTTGCCATGATAACAGACATACTAATTGTGCGACCTTGCCATTCTAGTCCATGGAGGATATTCTCATTCATGAATATTTACACCACAAGCACGAGATAACATCGGAGGTTTTGTCTCTCTTAGTGGAATTATCGTTTTTCGTAACTGGTTCCATTAATCTTGCAATAACTGCCGGAAGGCTTTCAAACTGATTAAGTTGATTAGCGTAATCAATGAAACAAACTTGAAACAAAATTTGGATAACATGACAAAACGCATGGGTGCCATTTGAATATGATCTACACTATCAGAATCTATTACAGTCGACAGCAATATGACCATATTGGCCTAAAGCTATCATTACTCTTCCGTTATTATTATCCAACTTCTGTTCTGGAGAGGCCACATGGTGTAGTGAGCCATTAACAAGATGCTTGAATCATCTTCGGCTAATCACACACTTCTTCTGCACGCCGTGACCAGAATACTCCCTGACATATCGCCGACGGCGTTGTCCACCAGGGTTGGGCCAAACAAATGCCGTCACTGCCGGCGTCTCTTATCTCTATAGTTACGATGCCCCTTGGCAAATAATCTTAGGCAAGCATTTCTACTCATGAGTACTGTTCACATCACAGACATTGAACAGGAGGACTTAGGAATCGGAACCTTCTTTGTATTTTAAGTGTTTGGCCGGTATGTATTGTCGACTTGTTGCAATGAAAGAGGGAGGTGGACTGTTGTGTGCGTACCGGTAGAGCAGGACATGCTTACCCTTTGTCCAAACACCTGGTGTCATCACTGGTTTTAGGGATCCATTCATATACCGTATTCGACGTAATAAGCGCCCTGCTCTAATAAGCGCCCATGGCGATATTTGCTAATATATTGGCTAGTGAAAAATCCAAATTAGCACCCCTTCCGATTGATCAATGTACACAAGACTTATTTATTCGCGTACAATACGCACTCGTGTGTTATATGCACCCTTAATTATGGGCAATTAAATTCTGGAAAAATATATCTGCCGTACATAAACATTTCAGGCTGTCAGCATAAAGCACGAAATTTTTTATCCCCACCGAAATAATATTCTAATAAGAGCCCCCTATTTCTAATTTTGAGAGCGCCCTGGGCGCTTATTACGTCGAATACGGTAGTTTGCCTATTAAGCCCAATGGAATCTTTTTCCGCGGATAATCGAGACAGATTATTCTCTGGTGTGGACGTCTATTACGTTACTTATACACATTATGAAACTGATATTAAACACTGATATTAATTATATTCCCTACCGGAATTTTATTGCTTCTTTGAACTAAAATTAGTAATATCAGCGGGTCAGCTCAATATGGGCGGAAAGCCTAAAGTGAAGCTAGTTTAACGAAGCCATCGTCAACAGGTGTGTGCATACAATCGCAATCAATGCGAATGTGGGATTTGAACCATCGACCAGCGGATCCGTGGGGTTAAGGAATGTAACATTGTTCACTGAATCACGATATTGGGTCACTGGGCTTTCGTCTCCCACATCAGACCTGTGTGAAGCCACTTTGACTCAACTAGTGATGATGGACAATTGATGTTATTCACATGAATGCAAAGGGTTGCATCAAAGCTGTTGTCAGCATCACTCCATGAACTAATACTTTCGCTCATCTCACCAAGCAGCCATCGAGTAGAAAGGCCGTCCTGGCCTGAACTCCGATGTCGATGAGGTATATGACGTCCCCGATGTTGTCAAGGGTTGAGAAGATGCGCTGGTACACTGACTGCAATTGATATGAATAGACGTATTACCTATCGTAGTAGATTGTGATAGATGCCAAACAAACAGAATCTACTTCCCTATATATTATATATTAATTATTTCCAAAATACTTAACGTCACGTTGTGCGTGTCATGGTGTGACAACTGACGCATGGTTCAGCTGTAAATTGTGAATTTTGTTTGTAGCGATCAGAATCATATCTCGTCAGTGTGTCGAATATATATCCATATATCCATAGCTCAGACTGCGGGGGGAGCCGATATTAGACCACAGTGCAAATAAATGCTTATATGGGACCGAAAGGTTACATCATTTAAATATAGGGTGAAATCCCGTTAGTCCGGAAATTCCGCTTTTCCATCGAGTGAGTGAGTATGTTTTACGCCGCGTTTAGCAATGTTCGAGCAATATCATGGCGGGGGACACCAGAAATGGGTTTCACACATTGTACCCATGTGAGGAATCGAACCCGGATCTTCGGCGTGACGAGGGGACGCTTTCACCACTAGGCTACTCCAGCGCCCTTTCTGAATGATGATTCTAGGAACATCCTGGCATATAAACGAAGGTATCATTGATTCGTTAATCCGGACATGTGTCGATACGGACCATTTCACCTGTAAAGGTATCGTCCGGATTAACAGGGTTTCACACTATCGAGTAAGTGAAGTTAACTAGCATTCCCAGCATAACATTCCATCAGTATGATAGTGTGGCTGATATATGTTCCTTTAAACATGCGGGAACGCCGAAGACCCGGGTTTCGATTCCCGATATGGGCACAATGTGTGAAAACCATTTCTGGTGTCCCCGCCGTGATATTGCTGGACTATTGCTAAAAGCGGCGTAAAACCATACTCACTCACTCACTCACTCACTTAAACATGAGGGTGAAGGGACGACAAGTAAACATGAGCCGTCGTTCAACTATACAGTTCAACTATATCATCTTGCGTCTCGGTGAAAACACTTCATGTAATTACTCCCCCTCAAAGCCCAAAGACCCACATTGTTTAGTCTTTTGTTCCAGGAATTTACAGACTTTTTGTGTTACCGACAGGGGTAGTTTAAGAAATGGGGTAAGATAATAGGACATTGCATAGCAACCAACATCCCGTCTATCAGTTTATGCCAATGTTTCGCAATATCTGTACTAATCAATGACTTAAAGATGTTTTTTCTGAAGAGAGTAATAAGTTTGTACATTGATAAACACGTAAAGAGTGACGTCAGCCATGCATGATAACATGATTGATAAACGGCGTCATTGACGACTTAGACCACTGTGTTATAGCCATTTGGACAATGCAACAACACTCTGAGTCTGGCATCTTAATTGAAGATGGGTAGGAGCATTATTATTTCAGATATCAGTGTTTATTCAACAACGGTGACGTCAATTTTTTGACAATGTCGGATGTTGGTGGCGTAGGTGGCGCTGATTTACTCACGTGTTCTCGGAGCTCCCGGAAGGCGACTCTGAGGATGATGACGGCACAGTTGTACATGACGGCGGACGCAACGACACCCTGACAACATACATACGACATCGTTATGTCCCATAAGAGGACATGTGCATGACTTTGTCAATAATAGTTGTAAATAGATGTGAAGCTTTGTACTTGGGTCGTTCCAGGTGGCAAACGTTTTAGAGAACGTATTTGTTATATCATCAATTATAAGGGTAACGAAACTAATAAATAGGGGATATTTGTCAATCGTTTTAAATGTTTATCTGATAGAGTGACCTGACAGTTAATAAAATATACATGAGATAAATATAGCATTTTCATTACAGTGAGTGAGTGTGTGAGTTAGGTTTAACGCCGCTTTTAACAGTATTCCAGTTATATCACGGCGTGTCAGCTTAATGTGGGAGGAAAGCCCGAAGTGATGCAGGTCTCGTTTACCACTTCGGTGAAACCCACGAGCACGGGTATGGTGCTGACAAACCTAGAAACATAATCGGGGCGAACCGGGATTCGAACCCACAATCATAGGTTTCTGGCGTGCCCAAGGGACGCAACTCTGCACAGCGAGGCGGCGCCTTAGACGACTGGGCCACCCGTGCCCCCTTTTCATTACAAAATACGTAATTCATTATGTTACCTTAATCGATGTGTCAGTAGTCATTCCTATCCATGTGCCCACTTAAAGAATACGTGACAACATTCACACACGCACGGACACGCTTTATGTTAGGCATTACACTCGAAAATCACATTGCAGGCAAGTATTGTATCTGAGAACCAGCCACAATCCGCCCAAAGTCATGACTAACCTTAGTAGATACATGCTCCATCAAGACCGAACACAAATGTATGACGTGATTCAACATTCAGCTAAAAAGTTGTAGATGACCTGTTACCTGCCTCTGAATCCCCGTGGGGATTCCTGGTTAGAACTAAATTAAAGGATCGGATGGCCAGGTTCTGTCACTGGGCTGATAGCGTGTCATCGTACTCCGACGGCGTGGAACGTTGCTCCTAATATCGATCACTGGATCGTCTGGTACAGACTTGCTAATTTACAGGCCGCCGTCATTCACTTGACGTATTGCTGAGTGCCGCTTTAAACAACATGCAAGCACACATAACCTCTGAACTCCCCTGTCCCCCTCACCGGTCTAGTTCATATAACAGACATACTTACCATCCAGTAATACGCCCATTTTCCGTTAGGGTCCAGTACAAGATCCTCTGGGGTGGGGTCTACAGGGATCGGGTTTATGACCTGTCGCAAATGACATATATTTGAATTTTGACTGGGTCTACTTTGATTTGCTAGATATCTATATTGAGATTCAGAATCAATAATCTGGTATGAAATGGCCTTTTTCTACCAAAGAAATTATAAAATGATGAATAATATTTCAAAAACAAATCACGACGACCGAAAACAAATTTCTTATGGCCTATATCAGCCAAACTGGACAGACATTCCTGAAACTTTAAATGACCAGAAGTTCGTAATCTTGTTATAGACTTGCATTATTAACTTTCAATTACTCCATATTTTATTATTCTGCAGACTCCTCAGTCTGGGACTGATAATAAACGCCAAAGATTAGCCCTCCCTTATAATTTGTGATTTGTATGCAATGGATAGGTCAATAACATCTGTTTACTAAGACAGATCCCAGTGTCTGGACTGCCAGATGTTCCTCAAATTCGTGTTAAACAAATCTTTATCATGTGAATCTTACTACCTTACCAGACAAACTGTCTTTGTCGAATGTAGTTTCATAGCTTTACGAGTAACAGTGCTTAGACCGGACATGACTACACACCGATCAACGTACTTATGATGTCTTTAAATACAGTAAACTACGTTTATAACGAGCACGCTTATAACGAACTGACGGATATAACGAACTGGTTTTGTCCCCGTCCATTTGATGTATATATGCTGTATGTGCTTATAACGAACAACGGTTATTACGAACTAAACTTTGTGGTCCCTTTAAGTTCGTTATAACCGTAGTTTACTGTATAGATGGTCATAATCGCAGTGAATCTTGCATCGTCTGCATTGTGGTGAAATAGGGTTTAACGTCCCATTCAAGCTATTAAAATTACTTTACAGCTTTTTATCATAGTTTGAATATCAGTGTCTCATACACTGCTGCCATCACTATTTCATTGTGATTCTTAAACACATTCTAATGACATAGTCGGGATCTACAATCGACTCTGCTTTTAGCAGAGATTCTTATGAACATAGGGAGGGTCTTTATTTTATTGTAGGATCTTGTATAGCCAGGCAAGGAGAACCATGTGTTGATTTAGTGGCTTATCTTGGATTCGGTTTCTAAATCTGAATGTCAAGCATTCGTATCGTATAAGGTGCAATCAGGTGAGGTGAAATGGGTTTTGACGTCGCGTTCAAGTTATTGCACTTATATCAAGACGTATGCGCGCATGTGTGCATGTGTGTGTGCATGTTCATGTGTATGTGCATGTTCGTGTGCATGTTCGTGTGTGTGTGTGTGTGTGCGTGCGTGTGTGTGTGTGCTTGTGTGTGTGTGTGTGTGTGTGTGTGTGTGCGCGCGCGCGTGCGTATTCGTGTGTGTGTACTAATCAGAATGTCGGCTTTATAGTGACAGTCCACTGAGACACCATGCCGCAGTTTAACATTGATACACTACTCAGACACAGTATACTGTGTCGACCAGTCAATATTTTATTCCCTTAAGCCGAGTGCCACGCAGGGTGCAAAGTACTATCTGTTAACGTCTTTAGGTGTGAACCACCGACCTTCCGCAGACACTAGATCACAGATGCGGTTCGTCTTCATGGAGTCAGGACCATGAGGAGTTTGGCTTACCACACAAGGCTGCCATTTCCTCTGGCATATACTAAAATAGACCTCAACTAAAATGTCTTCAATACATTAAAAAATAAATAAATAAATAAGAACAGTAAGAATGACTCATGGGCTACGTAATATAACCTAAAATATGAGGTAACTTCACCAAAAAAGCTTAAAAGAGACATTCTTTGCAAAATCTTTAGATGATCTGAGATCTAGTATCCCGAACGGCTCAAAATAATTCCAAAACATGTTGAAAGCTGGCAATCATTGCTTGTGTCACCTTTTTGTCGTCCTTAGGGGAGTCTGGACTGCCGTCAGCTGACGTGGAATTAGGGGGCATCTCTGATTGGTCCGGTTCGTCACGTGACCTTGACATGGTCATGGTGCTTCCCTCCCTCAACAGGATCGGTCGCCACTTGTCATGGGGTCTGAGTTGGCAGTAACAGTAATGAATGCATGTATATCACTATTATGCACACACACAAACAAAAAAACAACTCAAGCATGAATCGAATATTGATTTCGCATGGCCGTGCTGCCTGAACCTGCGAAACAGGGTAATCTGCCGAGTTGTAGAAATGTTACTTCTAAAGTTTGAACCCCTGGGAAGTTCTGGTAAGTGTAAAGCCTGTTTCATACATGGCGATCGCAGAGCTACGACCGTCGTAGGTTTTTGTTAAAGTATAGGGGTTAGACATGCGTAGCGCTAAGATCGCGTTGTGCAGGTGGGCCCAGATCTACGTACTTGGCACTGGGCAGTTGCTAACTGGGAGTCACATTATGCATCCTGATCTTTGCGATGCGACTGTCGTAAGTCTGTGTTAAACTACGAGAGTTACGACCGTCGTATCCTTGTGGTAAGTGCTACCATTGTAGCAGAAAAGTAATTGCTTACACCCAAAAAAGTACGATTTTTTTACACCTATAAAAATACACTTTTGTTCACCTCAATTTACCATCAAATGCAGTAAATTATTAATTTAAACTCTACATGGTCGAACATGATATTTATTGTCTAACTTGAAAATCGGAATCTTAAAGCACTTCGGGATTTTAGTGGTAGACGGTTTGTGACGTGAGCAAACAGCGCTCACACATTATAATAATTCATAAAAAAAATTAATGAAAAAATAAATAACCATTACATATTACAAATGAACATTGGTAAAAACACATAAAAGAAATATTATCGATTCGTTTTTATGTTCAAATTTCATTTGTCATCAATGATGTTTATTTAATGAAAGTTGAACATCTGTTGGAGCTAGCGTGCCCTCGTAAAATTGATTTTGCTTCCACTTAAAATTCGCCTAGTTGCGTCCCTGGTGATCACATTGCTGATCAGGTCAGCGCGTGTGTGGCCGGTGTGTTTCACCGTTATTCGACGTCGTGGACCGTTGCTCATAATATCAACCACTCGCACCCTAGATAATAAAGCATGCACTTTGTTATATTTGATAAAAAACGTGTAAAACATGTAATATATTTTACTACATCATCGAAACGATGTATAAGATCATTTATACATTTGATGTAAAATATTTTGAGTGAATGATGTGACAGAATGTCCATAGTATAGTATGACTCTATATTATCGCGGTATCGGCAAATCTCGTAATCTACTTCTCCTGTCGACTGTTTATTCATTCAAAACTAAGTACAATATTTCTCGCATCATCGAATACAGGACTCGTTGAGTTATGTCACGGCTCCTCGTAAGTATACACGTTAACATTTTTATGATAGCTTCTGGAATGTTTTGAAATGGAATAACCCCTACCTCCATTCGAAATTGGTTACAAAAGAACCCATTTGTTTGGACTATTTCCTTTGACCCAACCTAGGTCATATGAAAACTGATTATGCATAATCCAAAACAGGAAGTGATGTAAACAACATAATCCACACATATCACACACACAATAGTGATAGCGCGATAATAAGAGTTGCCCGCCCTTGAGTCGCTAATGAAGGTATATTGTTTACTAAAATTGGTAAAGAAAATCAGCATCGATCAATCCTTATTGATGCGTCATCAAAGTTGAATAAAGAACCAGAAACATTTTGCGTATGACATAGTTAATGTGTGAGTAAGCATTCGCCATCACGATCCATTATAAATTAACCACCGCGATAATATAGAAAACCATGCTACATCACAACACCACAGCTCAATCGGGGGCATGTATGGCCCGGTCCTGTAAAGCGCCGGAACTCGCTGTGCGGATTTGCGTCCCTTCGGCACACTTATGGGCGGTCCGGTAACCTAGTGGTTAAAGCGTTCGCTCGTCACGCCGAAGACCCGGGTTCGATTCCCGACATTTCTGGTGACCCCCGCCGTGATATTGCTTGAATATTGCTAAAAGCGGCGTAAAACCATACTCACTCACTGACTCACTCACTCACTCACTCACTGGGCACGCTTAAATCTATGAATGTGGGTTCTAATCCCGGTTCGCCCGGATTATGTATCTAGATGTGTCAGCGCCATACCCGTGCTCGTGGGTTACACCAAAGTGGTAAACGTCTGACACCTGCATCACTTCGGGCTTTCCCCCAACATCGAGCTGACACGCCGTGATATAACTGGAATTCTGTTCAAAACGGCGTTTAACCCCGCTTACCCACCACAGCTCCAACACAGCAACATCAAAACAACATTACAGCTACAGTAAAACAAAAGTACAGCTATATAACAGCAACAGTAAAAAAAGAAATTAGAGCTGCATAACAGCATCCCCATAACAATATGGGGCTTCTTCACCGTAGCAATAGCCACATCACAGTAATATCAGATCAACATCACAGCAATATCACGTCAGCATCAACACAGCCTTAGAGTTACATAAAAGGATCACCACAGCAATATAACATCCATATCAGGGCTACTTTACAGAAGCCACCGCCATATCACAGCAACATAATTTCTACATCATAGTCACATCGCAACAAAATCGTGTACAAGATTCTGATGGATGGCGTTTTGCTACAATTAGAAAGTTATCGCCGAAACGCTCCAGCAGTAAAATACATATTTGACGATAAGATTGTTCACAGGCAATTTCTTGTTTATCTAAACGTGTTTTCCCTTGTTTCAACCAGGCGGCACATCCCTGAGACTGAAGATCGCTATTGACCCACTATCCCACATGTTTACTCCAGGGGGTTGTACAATCACAAGATTCCGAACAATGTGTTTGCATTTAAACGCTGCTCTTTATTCACCAACAACGTCAATCCTACAAGGGAATACACTCAGCTATGCAATGTTCATGTTACCATGACAAGCCGTTCTTTAAAACATATTCGATGAAGACAGAAGTCAGACTTGATAGACACACCGTATAGTCTCTGTGTGACCCAGTTATGTCTCAGTAAGAACAATGTGCAGGAAATCTTAAGAAAACCTTTCTGAATCCGACGAGACGCGGTTTTTGTGTGAGCGTGGGGCAAGGAAGATGTCCCGAACACTCACAATAGCCTCGTTTCAATACTCTTTAGAACCCCGCTCAACCTGAATATGGAGAGTTTAAGGTCAGATTACGTTTTTAGTATTGAGGGGTGCTTGTTACGCGTAGTATTTATCTGGTCATTTCTACTCATGGAATGAATTGTTTGATTCCGCTGCAGTGGAGTTTGATCAAACATGCTAACATCTCTAACGTTCCATGATACATTTGAACATAAATCAAATATATCTATAGCATAATGTCAGTACGTGAAGGTCTCTAAAACTTAATAAATCCTAACACACACATACGCAGGCACATTATGTTGATGCATCAAGCAGTGCAGAGAAAGATAAACTAAAACAGTCGTCAAAATCAATACAGTTTGACATTGAAAGAACTTTAAAGTCCTTATACAGCTGTTTAAACACCGAATATATTCATACAACGATAACACACTTAACATATTCATAAGTTTATCACCGTTTGTCAAAAAAGGATATACGTAAATTGTGTTTACGAGTCATATGGGATACAGTACTCAGGCCCGTGCACGCCAATATTCCACATATTCTGCTATCTACATACAGAAAGGGTCACAGGTTGTCATCATCTCAGCAATGTATAAGCTGAGTTGTACGGTTATACATATACAGTAAAGAACGTTTATAACGAACACGCTTATAACGAACTGACGGACAAACGAACTGATTTTTTTGTCCCGACTATTTGCTATTGTTATACTGTATATATGCTTATAACGAACTACGGTTATAACAAACTAAAGTTAGTGGTCCCTTTGAGTTCGTTATAACCGTATTTTACTGTACTGTATACCTGTCAAGGTTAAACAAATGATAATTATGTCATCAAAATTTAATTCTAAATACGCCAATGAGCAACAGAGAAGAAACTGGAACAACATAGGACCCACCGGCTAGCTGGCAAGATGATGGTCATGTCCTCGTCTTTGTATGAATGTCCCCTGTCCGCGGTGATCAGTGTACACTAGGGTCGCTGTCTCAAATCATTGCATAATTGACAATAGATGATACTCGTGAATTCATGGATGTGTATATTGCCGTGAACAGACTGTATAATATCCATTGATTGTTTCCCCTGGGGCAGGAACACTCGACGTCTCATCCCACGAGATGAACACTCCACTGTTAAAGGTACTGGTAGCATAAGGTAACGTAAGCTGGGCAAGATCGCGCAATGAACATTCCAAGACGTCATTGGTATGAACATTTATATGCAACTACTAGCAATACACGGGTTAGTATGTCAGTAGGGGATACATCAGGCGATAATTGAAAGAGATTGGTCACAGTTGAAGGCATCATCCATTAATTGTTGACTAAATGCGATACATAATTTAGAATGTAACATGTATAGAAAGTTGGGTTAATTTGTAACGTGATCGTCCTTAGCACATTACAAGGTAGATCCTTCGTGACTGCATCTGGCCACCTGTGACATAATCTGTATTATTTACCGGTTGTGATTTAAACGCTTTAAATCACTTAAAGTGGAGCCATTAAAACACACACACCACTTGGTGAATACTGTCAGTTTTATATCTGGACTAGCGGACTTTTAATGCGATCATTCTGTTATACATCAAATGTTTGTTTGTTGTTCAACGCCGCACTCAGCAGTATTCCAGCTATATGACGGCGGTCTGTAAATAATCGAGTCTGGACCAGGCAGTCTAGTGATGGACATCATGAGCATCGATCTACGCAATTGGGATACGATGACATGCATCAACTAAGTCAGCGAGCCTGCCCACCCGATCCCGTTAGTCGCCTCTTACGACCAAGCATGGGTTGCTGTAGATCAATATTAACCCGGAATCTCCACGGGGCTATACATCAAATGATTAGCATAACATTACATAACGATCATATGGTTGACGGACATACATGTTTGTGTGTATGTACAGTGAAACCCCGTTTATCCGGTCTGTGCCGTCCTCAGTGATACGGGTTAATGAAATAATGTCACGGGGTTATATATGAACCTGCGATCGTCCAACCGCGAGGCTTCCGAATTAACAGATCTAGAGTAACAATGTCTCACTGTAAATACTAGTGGGTAACAAACTATAGAAACATGAATTTATTTACACTTTGGTTCACACCGGGAACTAGAAAGCATCATAGTGATAAGGCAAAATTGACTAAATATTATTACTCAAGGGCTACAGCGTTTAAAATATTAAAAACCCATTTAATTCAAAGATTTGGTGCCATGCCTAAAATTGGATACAATCGCGTACAACCAACTTTACTAAAGAGATTTCTTATGAATATGAAAGGTTTTGTCTACTTGGGATAGGTTCTGAAACATGCGTGTCTATATGAATAGAAACTATTCTACCTCGTCAAATATAACGATCAGCGTAATGTAGTGCATCCTCGTGTATCAGGGCAAATACGAAAGGTTTATGTCTAAGACTCAGGTGAACGAATTCCTTTGACATCATGTCCGGGGATTCTAGCAACAGCAACACTTCATCAAATTCATGCAAACCAAAATATAAACGAACTTTGCTACATTTCGGACATCAACACATACGCGACATAAACTACTGTGCTCAAAACTATTTCTCGCCTTTGGTAAAAAATACAATAACTTAATGTTTTCGACCAACGAACCCTTGCAACAGGATATCCCAGCCACGTCGCTTTCCGCTTCACAGTGTCGTCCTCATACACAACACAACAGGAACTAAATAACACATGCAAACCATGCCTTTTTCCTTCCCAGCCCAGAGAAGACTCGACAATGCTTCATAGAGCATATGCACCAATGCCACTGGATGGGATACATCTGGCAGCAGTAAGAACTACACGAGATCAAGAATGTTTAGCGGTAAGCTGGTCCTACCTGGATGGGAGGGGGACTTCTTCTTCCTCGTCCTCCGGCGAGTCGCGCTGAAAGTGAGAGAGAGAGGTATATTGAAGGGGCACCAGATCGATGAGGTTGTATTGGGGAATACACCAGGCTGATGCAGTGTCGCATGGATCAGTACTGGGGACTTGGCATACAGTCAGCAGTGCCAGTTGTTGAGGGTGTTATCTCTCGAATATGGTTTAAGTCGGAAGCTTGCGGAATTGGGGAGGTTTTGAGGAAAGTATTTTACAACGTAACGTTGACGCATTAGTGACAAAAATTATGTCTGATGCAACTCCCTATTTTGACTTGTACCATATGTTCCCGTGTTTTTTTTCAGGTGAACAATTGACTTGACTTTGCATGTGTTTGTGTCGGGTACCGCCGATGGGGCAGGATACGCTCACCTTTGTGCGAGCAGCTGGTACCGTCACAATTTGATAGTGATTCATATACTCATGCTTATGATATAGCGGTATTGTACAATGGACACTGCTTTTAGCTTTTAGCAATATTCCAGCAATATCACGGCGGGGGACACCAGAAATGGGCTTCACACATTGTAAACATGTCGGGAATCGAACCCGGGTCTTCGGCGTGACTAGGGAACGCTTTAACCACTAGGCTACCCGATGGTTATTCATGCTCGCAGAAAGAGATATAGTCACTATATCATTGAGGACTTGATAGTTTGACCGCGCGCTAAGCATAAAATCTATGTTAAATGGTTACTATTCATACTTAGGGTCTTTATAACAGGCAACAGGTTATTTACTCTAAGGCCAGGTTTCACAAAAAGGATCTCAGCGCTAAGACAACGGTAAGCCTGTGTTACTGAGGGAGTTACGATAGTCGTAGCCCTACGGTTACTTCCAAAATCATGGCGTTTGTTGTCCGGATATATATAACGTTAGCGCCCAAGAGAGAATAAACATCTCGATGATCTGCAGAAAAAGGTTTCCTTGGGCGTAAAACGGTGGTGAATATTAATATGAATGGATCGCTAAATATCAGTGATGACACTAGGGGTTCACGGAAAGGGTCAACATGTCGAATATATGAAGGTTTGTATTGCGAGTGAGTGAGTGAGTTTGGTTTAACGCTGCTTTTAACAATATTCCAGCTATATCGTGGCGTGTCAGCTTAATGTGGAAGGAAAGCCCGAAGTGATGCAGGTGTCAGACGTTTACCACTTTGGTGAAACCCACGAGCACGGGTATGGTGCTGACAAACCTAGAAACATAATCGGGGCGAACCGGGTTTTGAAACCTCAATCGTAGGTTTCTGGCGTGCCCAAAGGACGCAACTCTGCAAAGCGACTGGGCCATCCGTGCCCCCGTTTGTATTGTGAAATGTAATACACATTTTCCTTCTATCTAACTTCTTCCGAGAATATTGGATCAATTACGAGCTTCTTAAACCTGGAACATCGCAATCAAATCTGTTAATTTATTAATTTGAGTGGTTGTGGACCAATCAGAGGTGAAGCTAGACTGCCGCGCACTGCAGTACTCCTGCCAAAGAGTTGCGTGTAAACTACTAACACTCTTCAGCAACATCTCTTTGTACTTGTATTTTCATTATTTATCGAACACATTCCAAAACCCCACCAAATACCTGTTTTGTCGAGATGACCACATCATGACGTCACTATACGTAACACCAACGGTTTAAATTGGAAAGTTAAGTCAAAGTTAAGTTAAGTGCTCCAGTACGTTTAGCAATAGTGTACCTCAGCTAAGTCGATATATAGAGGATATCTTACGGGACACATGGAATATTCTATTTATTATATACTTTTTGTGTATTATTATTTCATTACAAATGGAAAACCTTGAAACGTAAATTCTCCTTACCTAACACACAGGGGCGGTTCACCACCCATTGTATTTGCGACTAAAAAGGTAGTTTCGTGTTTACAATATCTTAAAAAAAAAGAAACAAAAGTAACAAAAAATATTTAGGGGCACGCAAATTCTGTATCATACATTTAGATATGCTTATATACAAAATCAACATAAACAAAAAATATTCTTGAAGGTTCGAGACCGCTGTTGGAGGCCAAAGAATACAAGCTGGTCAAGAAACAAAAATGGCGCTTTGCGAAAAGAACGGTCTCGATCGAGTTAAGTGAGAAATTTACAAAACATTTTCAAGAGAATAACAAACGCCATTAAGCGATATTAACCCTATAAATGACCGTCTGTCATTATTTTGCCTTGTCAATGTGGAACTAACGTTAAAAGGAAGTCAACAGTTTGTGAACAGGCCAGACACTTACGACAAAGGGAGACAATTTGAGGGGATATCACTCTTGTATGACAATAGATCCGTCAAAGTGTTATTTTCACAGCAGTGAAATATTAAGTTTTATGTTCATTGCACCGAAATATTAATTGTTATGTTCGCTGCAATGAAAATATCCCTTTTCTTAACTTCGGAAAATTCAGTCTTTCACGCTTAAGTATATAAAAAACATGTCTAATGCAGCAAAGATCTCTGTTATAGCCTCATTATGATCTAATATCGACACTTCGTTGTCACGAACTACGTGCTACCCCTGGGACCCGTTTCACAAAACGATCTTAGCACTTGGACGATCGTAGTCCCATACTTTAAAATAGGCATATGGAAGTCGTAGCGCCTTGTGGAACGGGACCTCGATGTCAAGTTAACGTGGGTTCACTGCCCCGTATACGTCTTATCTGTACTTTCTGCTTTCATAGATTAACCAACATTCGGAATATATGTCACACCGGGCTGTGGCGTCTCCTATCACGTAGAATGTATGGCGCCCAACAGTAGGACGGGGCAGGATATGCTGACCTTTTCGCGAACACCTGGGCCCACTTGCACAAAACGATCTTAGCGCTAAGACTATTGTAAGCCTATGTTAAAGTATGGGAGTTAAGATCATCTTAGCGCTAAGATCGCTTTGTGCAAGTGGACCCTGGTATCATCACCATGTGACGGTGATTCATAAACACATGCTCATCAATGGATTTCTTATGGTCATGGAAAGGGTTTCGCCGCTTATATTTGCTGTATCTGGAAACACCGATTACGCCAAGACACGACACAGCTAATGCTAATATAAGATATTGTTTATACTATACAAAGACACAGATCATGCTAATACAAGATATTGTTTATACTACAGTAAACTACGGTTATAACGAACTCAAAGGGACTACTAATTTTAGTTCGATATAACCGTAGTTCGTTATAAGCATATATAAGTATAACTACAGCAAATTGTCGGGTCCAAAAAAGTAAGTTCGTTATATCCGTCAGTTCGTTATAAGCGTGTTCGTTATGACCGTAGTTTACTGTATATCAAGACACAGATCATGCTAATACGATATATTGTTTATACTATATCAAGACATAGATCATGCTTATACAAGATATTATTTATACTATACCAAGATACAGATCATGCAAGACAGATAATACTTAGACTCTACACGGATAATGTTGAGACGAGACACAGCTAACGCTAAGACAAGACACAGTTTATACTATAACTATGCACTTGGAAATTTTGACAGCAGGTATAATTTTAACACAAGCCCTACATCGCGATATCTCAATAACGACCGTAGGTGTATTTCCTGTCATAACGAACGCTGATAGTGATGTCTTGGCGGTTCTGGAACACTATGGTTTGGACGTGTGTATAATGCACATTCCCTGAGGGGGGTGGCCCAGGTTGTGGAGTAGGTCCTGCTTGTGACCGCTTCATCCACAGCATCCCCCGTGACGCGACTGTCCTGCTGGCAATTAACTTTTCAACTTGATTAGATGTTAATCTGTCTGTAACGGTTATCACCCTTGTAGCTACAACACCTTGGGAGACTTCAGCTGTGTCCATTATACGTTCGTGGTTGGACAGATTAGTTTCGTGCTTGAAGCTATTATGCCTGTTTGTGTATATAGTCATCTATTATAAAACGGCCGAAGGCAGTTTTTGATCAACATATTGTGTCACACTACAAGTGGCTGGTATGGCTGAACTGATTTTTCAATGTTAGTGTCCAATGAGTAATGTATGTAAAACGTAACTGTATTAACATGGTCTTTGGAGAGTCGGTGGGCATGTAACATTTAACGCTGCTTTAAAATGACGGTGCGTTCACACGGTAAATCTTATCAAGTTGTACCATGTAAATGCAATTTCAGACAACTTTGCAACAAGATATGATATTGAGTAAAACATGATTAACCCATCAGGGTGTAGTGTAGTGAACGTTTATAACGCTGCCGTACCTACTTTGTTGATTGGATACATGGAACTTGACCTTACCATAATATATTGGTGGACTCTTCACTACCCTGTGTCAATCATCCTTTGTTCATACGATACGTGAGTGAGTTTGGTTTTACGCCGCTTTTAGCAATATTCCCCGCAATAACCCTGCTGGGAACACCAGAAATGGGCTTCACACATTGTACCCATGTCGGGAATCAAACACGGGTCTTCGGCGTGACGAGCGAACGCTTTAACCACAAGACTACCCGACCGCTCCTCATACGATACGAATACTTGACGTATAGAATTTTGAAACCGAATCAACATATGACTCTCCGTGCCTAGCTAAACAAAGATGATTAGACATACAGTGCCTGGCAAAGAAAGTAAACACTTGAAGACTTGATTTGAACGAAACATTACAGACGTTATCAAATCGTTGATGTGTGGTACCTGTGAACTGATGCAAACCTGCTTTCCTGCTTCACCCTGCTCCTTATATTACATCACCATTGAGTAACCATTACTTGTTTGTTTCAGTTTAAGTTACTATGAAACATAGGTGTATATTTTATTTTGTCAGGCAGTGTACAGTAAATAAAAGAAACGACCTTAAACACTAATGATCAAACTATGATAAAAACTATACAAAAAAGGTAGAGGACATTTTGCTTTGAGGAGAAACTACAGGAAAATACACCAGTGCCTGGCAATGAAAGTAAGTGATTTATGTGTCAGGAACATTTACGAAGAAATCAAGCTCCCAAACACAACGTTGTGACAGTCATG